TATTTGTTACTCTGTTAGGATGTATATTTATTATTTTCACATTAAACGCAGTCATAAGGCTAAAGAAAAAATTTGACATTGACATTTGACAACACAACAAAGTAAACGATCTGGCAAGAACCAACAAACTGAACATGAGAAAAAAATGAACTCAGTATAAGTGACAATATCACAAGAAGTATAAGACAGAAAATCTTTCCATGTTACTTGGAAGATTATGTTATTTTAGACCTTCATACCGAAAAGACTGCAATTATGTTTAAAGAAAAGAAGAAATGAATGCTCTAAATAAAATCTGGCAATTCACACCAGTTCCTCAAGGAAGAGTAGCCACCAACAACAAATGGACGGTAAAACAAGTCAAAGACAATGCCACTGAAAATCACAAAGTACGACTGGTGATCAAATGTTCTTCACAAGAACAAGGATATGTCCCGAAAGAAACCTATGCTCCATTTGCCAGTTGTCGCAGGGAATCTAATCTCCTATCATATGGATGTTAACTTACACTTACACTCTGAAATTAAACAGTTCATGTATTTTTACTGTCAAGACCTTTCTTGGCATTAATATGAAATAACAGCAGTGAAATACATCTGCATTTAGAAAAACTGTTCAAGCGGACTGATGGCAATAACGTGTATACGACGATAGACCCCACACAAATAAATGAAGGGAAGGCATGTCAAGGGCATAGCCGCACGAACTGACCTATGCTATGCTGTTAATTATTGCAAATGGAGAAATTTAAATAGAAGTCTACGTTACATCAAGGGGAAATTAAACATCACTCTGTAACGAGAGAGGAGAATAAAATTTTCTATGTTGATGCTGATTATGGCAGTGAATCAGATAGGAAATCGATGTCCGGATATCTAATTAAAGTATGTGGAAACACAGTATTTTGGACAACAAACATCAGTAGCTGATTTAGCATGATAAAAAATCTATTAAAATATAAAGCATGGCGACAAAAAAATCGACCACTGCAGAGACGTGACTATTTTAGGTTTGTTTGGAAATTAATTTTTAACAGTTTTTTGCCAGCTCAATTTGATTATTGTTATCAAATGAACGTGAATTAAGCCCTGAAGGATGACTGACAAAACGTCAGCAAGAATGATTTATAAACAACCGACGCAGGAAGAATCCAGAAGATTTGTAAATAGTACTCCTTGAACACTTTTTGCTGTGGTTTTTCTTAAGTGATTATTACGTCTTTTATACGTCTAATTAGGAAGATTTTTTTTGCTTAAAAAAATGAGCTTTTCTGAAAACACTTACGTGAAGAAGTAATACGTTTTGCAATTGTTACATAAATAAATATTCTTCAATTCAACATGTCTTAGACGCCATAATGATTACGTCAAAGTTTCGGAACAAAAAAGACGTGCTACCATATATGAACTATATTTTACTAATGCAACTTCTTGAATAGCAACTGTATCGCAATTGAAAGAAATGGGAAATAAGAAGTAACATTAAGCAGAGAATGATAAGGGCGTGTACCACTGCATTATCTTTTCTTGGCTGCTTCGACCAGAGGAGAAAAACCTGCACATTTTTTTGTAATCACACTGACAATCTATTCCAGGATGTTAGTTACCGATATTTTAACCACTTCACCCCATAAATTTAATTTTACATTGAAACTATGACAATTTAGTAAAATAATTGATAAAATAAAAATAATTAGTGTTTGCATCTTATTTGATTTTTATTTTATAAATGAAGTTGTTAATATTTCAATAGAATATTGTATAATATTCAGATTACAATCATACATACATCTACATTTTAACAATTGCTTGAAGCATATTGGACTGATTGTAATTAAGTATTTAAACACAGAGGATCAAATTCCTGACCAACGCATTCCCTAGAAGGCAATTCGAAAACCTACGGAGTTCAAGAATGTATTAGACGTTTGCAAATACTTCAACCTAATTTTCTTTTAACGATCATCCACAGATTTTGTATTGGGTTAAGCTCTGAGCTACAAGATGACCACCGTAAAACATCTATATAATTATGGGATCATTGTCGTGTTGGAATTTATGCAGCACTAATAAATTTGCTTCTGAATGTTGCATGACGTTTTCCAGTATATTAATGTATTCATACTGATCAATGGTATTCTGTAAAGTGCAACATCATTCCAACAACAACATTTGTGTCTGCAAATTATACTGCTCAACAATTTGTTCCTAATTATTGGCATTTTACTATAGTTTACGCTGAGGAAGTTACCACAATTTTTATTAGTATTAAAACTAACGCTAATGAAATTGATTCTTTTGACTACTCCGTATTTAGTTTATTACCAACCATCTGAAAGGTTGTTGAAAAAATTGCAGCTAACCAACTTCGTCAGCTTCTATGCGATAACCAAATCCTCCCAGACACTCAATCGGGTTCTCGACCTCTCCACAGCACTACTGCTGCCTTGCTTCATATTACTGTTGATTTATTGGGAGCAGCTGATTCTAAATTAATCTCTTGCCTCATATTCTTGGAGTATAGCATCTTGAATCATTTTCTTCTCTTAGCTAAACTGAGGTATTTCAGGGTAAACTACTACTTTCATTTTTTAAATATTTTCTTTGTCAGAGATATCAAAGTGTAGTTGTAGGAAATTCAGCTTTGGATAGGGGTGTTCGCCAGGAGAGTATTCTGGGACAAATCCTGTTCTCAGTTTATACAGCTCACTTCTCTACTGACCATATTTTCCAGTGCCTCTCTGATTCGGGTTGGCTCTAGTTGGAGGGCCGTTGTAAAGATCAGTTAGCTACCTTGGTTTTTTTCCCTAAACTCCATCGTTCTTGTTTGATAAACTTTGCAGAGGAAATGATATTCATAATCGAGACACCCGCCATTGTTTCAAATATTGCGCTCCTAGACACACTTCGGCAACTTTCCAGGGATCTTTTAGTTAAAATTTTTAAGCTATGCTAGAACGCCCCTCCGCACAATGAAGTCCTTCGTTAATATTGTTTATTAGGCCCGCCAGTATCTAGCAAAAGCGTATGAGTTTATGAAGTGCATCTATTTCTTGTACTAACGATGCATATGATATACATATTTAGCATTCTGTTGACAATTATGGTAGTGCTGTTGTCTTGGTTTGCGAATGTCGCCACTCTTCTATTATAACTTATATTGTAATATTTTGATTTTTAATAAAGACAGTTTACTATTATAATAATTATTATTATTATCATATATATGTTTGATGTTGATCAATTCGTCTTTCTTCAGTTTGGGCACCGTAATAGCGTATATATTCCCTGCATTGACACTTCAAACGTTAACCCCACGTTTTCAAAAACGAAGGTCTTGTGGATCCATACTTATATGAAATTTTTGTTTTAAAAGTAACCAATTGATCTAAGTTATGCCCCAAGTTAATACAAACCTTGTATTTTATTTCTACAACTAAGTGGTGTTGATCAATTCAACATGACATGAATAAGTTAGACACGAAATAATCGACTGATTTCCTGTTTGTTGCAGACACTGCCCGTGTATAAATACATTGGGAAACCAAATCAACTGTCGGCAATTTTTATTGCGTTTTTTGGGTCAGCAGTGTGGGTCCCGCAATTGGCCTTTATTTATATGTTAATTAAGTGATCCATTCGTTTAGTTTAGCAATTTTGTCAGCATGTAGAATACTGTAAAATTTTAAATAAAGTTTTTTCACTATTACAGATATTTTTTTCTTGTATTTGTGATTATAGTTGCGATTAACTTCTTACTCAAGTTTGTTTGTATTTATTGTTATCTAATTATCTGGAGATATATTGTAACATCAACAACAACTGTCGCTTGTTGATTTTGATTGTCAAATAATATTTCTTCGCGTAAATTTTAGGAAAAAATATAAATACAAACTATAGGAAAAAAAATATTTGCCAATCAACAAGCCACAGTTGTTGTTGATGTTACAATATATCTCCAGCGAATTAGATATAAATAAATATGTAGTAACAGTGTTTGTTATAGTTTGCGGAAAACGAAACGTAGTAAGGGATTTTTGACCTGGTCGTAAGATCGAGTCCGTAAAGTCCCGATGAGAATGTATTTACAGATTTTTGGGAAGTTTTAAAATAAAGATGACGCGCAACTTTAGCGAGCACTTAATGGTTAATGGTGATGAATTTGAAACACCCGGTATAGTAATAATTAAAAAAAATCTAATTAAAAATCAATAATAACGGAATTACAGAACCAAGAATCAGCAATCTGAGAATTCCCATTACTACCCGTCTCCCTTGAAATAATATTTATTTCTCAAAATCCATATTGGCGACATTGGCCGGTTTTATACTCTATTATCGATTTCACTGCTCATATATTATTATAATTGACATTTTAATTTTTAATAAGAAAAAATTAATAGAAACCGGGTATGTCATAAGTGTTCAAAATGGCCACCATTAACATCTTGACGATGTGCTAAGCGTTATACAAAACCCTTTCATTGCGTGGGATATTTTCATTAATTTGCCTTAGTTTGTATCTAATTTTTAACTAACCAAAACTATCTAAATGTTGCGTTTTTTCGTTGTACACTTTTGATTTTAAATATCCACAGAGCAAAAAATCCACTGGAGTAATACCTATAGATCTTGTAGGCCATTCTATCAATTTAGATATGCCGTATTCAAGTTCTTTATTGACTGAAATGTTGTTACAATTAAATTATCTGCTACTTATTTGTTCATTCATTTGTATATTTTCTGTTTACTGAAAAAAAAAATCTTTATTTTTGGATTTTTCCATATTTGATCGCATTTTTTTCAGACACTGTTTAAAACTTGCGACAAGTTAATAAAGGAATACGTTTCACCGACAGTGATAACCTGAAATAGAGGTATACAAAAACTCCACTTTTTCAAAACTTTGTTGTCGCCACCTGTTGGGCATATATCGAACAAAGATAATCAAAATTGACGTTATTGCGAAAAGGGTAGAATTCCAATTAATGAGGCCCTTACGGTATTATTTCCAAGAAAAATTGTATATCTTCCGCTTGCTGCATTGAGAGCCTCTTGAGCCGCATTCAAGTCGCTCGAAGTGAACTTGACGCCGCGTAGAGTGGGGAGTTGGTCAACCGATCGGTTTAGGAAATCCGCCACGTCCACTAAAAGTTGAAAAATACTTGCCGACCGCACAGTGTTTCAAATGACCAATATTAGGCGATCAAAATTTGCTGCGTGCCAAGTTTCGCACTGGAGGGTAAACTTTTTTATAAATTTCAATTGTGGTAAACGGCACTTGACTCACGAATTTATTTGACACGAGCGGAGCGAGTGTTTAATAAACGAGTGAGTCAAAAAGTTTACCGAACGTGTTGCGTAGTATAATTTTTCTACCACCGTTAGTTTTTGGGTACATTTTCGCAAAACAACACGAATATATTCACTGATATGACCGTCAGAACTGACAAACGTCAAAATTCAAAGCGTGGGAAATATCTCCGAAAACATCCGATCGCTCCCAAACCCGTGCGGTAAAATCCCGGAAATGGTCGAAGTGGCTCGGATTCATGGGAAACGAAACTGACGTGGTAAAGCGACGCTTCCCGCACGCTAGATCGGTGCGTAATTAGGTATTTTACAGACGGGAATAGAAAAATAATTTTTTATTTGGTTCGAAACGTTTTGATAATCTCAAATGCTGGTAGCAGAATTTATTTATACTGAAAGTACAAATGACGGGGAGTAGAAAAAAAATTAACTTTTTTGTTAACAGGTGCAATAATTTTTTTTCCTTCCACAGGTTACTGAAATACTTTTCATAAAACTTCTGGATTTTACTCTTTAAGTGTTTATATATTGTTTGAGGGGGGCGGAGCTAAATGAGAGGCATTAACACTATCTCAGATGACTTATTCCTAGTAAACTCCTAGTAAATCAAACGGCATTTTGTCTTTGATGGATCGAACAAATTCAGAGATTTTTGAACAAGCCGTCCTACGTGATCTCAACCTTAAGTTTGTTGTTAAGGCTTCTTCTCTATCAGAATCCGTGAAAAAATGTGTCACCTCTCATAACTCTTAAATTCCTCTTTACTACGGACTCCCGAAGATCCACAGACTAAGATTATCCCTTCTATCTATTGTCAGCTCCGGTCAAATTTATGAACAAACATCAGGAAAAATCATTATCACCAGTCATCGCGAAGACTTTGACAAGAAAGTCCTCGACATCGACGCTACGGCTACGCTGATGATGCTTTTGTTATTTACCCTCATGGTCAAGAATCCCTACTAGATTGTCTTGGTCATTTTAACTCTATACACCGTAGTATGCGTTTTATCGTTGAATTAGAAACTAACAATAATCTCCCATTCTTAGATATTCTGGTTAATGGAAAATTAGACTTAATGTTGGATCACTTTTTTTTACAGAAAACCTATGCACACAGACCGATACCCATCACCATCCGGCCCAAAAATCAACGGTTATGAACTTTCTTGTTTACATCGGCATGAAACTCTCTGAACCTAAGTCACTGAACCCAGAATTAAAACAGCCTACATCAGCTCTTCGCTCTAATAATTTCCACATCCATCACAAAATACACTTCACTACAACCTTCCAAAGACAATGAGTCAGAAAGCAACCACACCCTCGCCACTGTTGACCTTCCTTACATTCAAAACATCACTGACCATATATCAAAAGTTCTTACGAAATATAAAGTAAAAATCACATTTACCATTTGTCCAACAATATTCCGTTGAGATACCAAAAGTTTACAGCACTGTATGCATATGCGGCAAAGAATACTTGGGACAGACCGGACGAAAAATCTCAACCAGACTCAAGGAACATGAAAGAGCACCACTCAGCCGAACTCAATTATGATACCGGATATTATCTTAATCGGTAAAAGTAGAATTCTTGCATATATCAAAGAAAAATCCGGTAATCCATGGATGTCTATAAGCAACCAAACCATCTTAACTGCGACTCAGGTCTTTACTTTTCACCAATATGAGAATCAGTCACAATATATAAAAAGCTCCTTCAAACTTCGGGAATATTTGATATTGATATTACTAACACTTATAAATCATTTTGACTTATCAGAGGAATACTGAGACATGATCATCTTAAACATCTAATAAATTCTTATCCCTGTTTCGATACAGGACGCCTATATTTGATGCTTTAAAATAAAGCACAAATGGAGAAAACGATTTTTCTAAATGGTATTGTATTGCCTGGTTATGTAGTTCTTATTTATCGGTTATTTGTTATATCTTAATTTTGACCATTTTGATCGTCCAATATTTTGATCCGAAACATTGCGCGGCGCACGAAATCGTACGTACGAGTCACGTTCGTCATCAAAGGAAAATTGTAGTAGAACAAAGGAGTGTTTGGTGCCGCATCTCCCACCACTTTGAGGTATTCGATCAGCTGCTGGTTGGTTTTCGGTTTGTAATAAAGTTCCGGGAGGCAGAGTAAAGCGTCCGCGCCATTTTTTTCGGAAAAACGCGCCAGTTCCAGGACGTCCGGCAGAGGACAGCCGCCGATCTGCACCATGAGGTGCTGTTTGGTATTTTGAACCGCTTCGGCCCAAGCCTTGATCAAGTCCTTTCGCTCTTGTATGCTCAGGGACATGCCTTCGCCCGTGGTACCTGAAACTGGTTCCAAATAACGTAAACGTTACTGACGATCTGGGTATTTCCTCATAACTCGCCAGGCCTTTTAATTCTTTTTTTTTCGAAGAGATATAAAAAAAGTTTTTATATGAAAGTTTTATAGTTTTCTCGAACTTGATACGAGCGAGAAGAAAAAATAATGAACAACTGAAATTTTCTATAATTTCTAGCAGTTGCAGCGGAGGTTACAGGATTTTCTATAGACCAACACTAAATTTTTTTTTTAAATAATTAAATATTTTTTCCAAGTTTTTCATTGTTTTTCGGCCGCCGTGTCTTAAAAACCTTCCATAATAAGCTTACTCAGATAGTATTTACAAATCTTCTGGATTCCTCCTTAATCGGTTGTTGATGAATCAATGTTGCTGACATTTCGCGAATGTATAGAGCTTTAAGTTGCAATAAAACAACGATGGATTATTCACTTGACATGAATTTTATTTATCCGAAAGATAATCTTGTGGCATTACATTTTAAATATGATTTCTGTCATATGACCGCCACGACTGGCGCGGATGTAGTCCAATCTGGACGTCCAATTTTCGATGACTTTTTCCAACATTTGTGGCCGTATATCGGCAATAACACGGCGAATGTTGTCTTCCAAATAGTCAAGCGTTTGTGGCTTATCCGCATAGACCAATGACTTTACGCAGCCCCACAGAAAGTAGTCTAGCGGTGTTAAATCACAAGATCTTGGAGGCCAATTCGCAGGTTCAAAACGTGAAATTAGGTGGTCACCAAACGTGTCTTGCAATAAATCGATTGTGACACGAGCTGTGTGACATGTTGCGCCGTCTTGTTGAAACCACATCTCCTGGACATCATGGTAATTCAATTCAGGAATGAAAGAGTTAGTAATCATAGCTCTATACCGATCACCATTGACTGTAACGTTCTGGCCATCATCGTTTTTGAAGAGGTACGGACCAATGATTCCACCAGCCCATAAAGCGCACCAAACAGTCAGTTTTTCTGGATGTAACGGTGTTTTGACATACACTTGAGGATTAGCTTCGCTCCAAATGCAGCAGTTTTGTTTGTTGACTTAGCCATTCAACCAGAAGTGCGCTTTATCGCTAAACAAAATTCGCTTATGAAAATCGGGAACAACGGCAATCTCGGTTTGGGCCCATTCGACGAATCTACGCCTTACTGGATGATCGTTTGGCTTCAATTCTTGCACGAGTTGGATTTTGTAAGCACGTAAAACTAAGATCCTTCCGCAAAATCTTCCATAAAGTGGATGGATGCTACGCTCTACAGCAGCAATAGCTTCTTCTGTACGCACCGTACGGCGGTGGTGCGAAAACGTTCCATGGTTAATCGAATTAACTGCTCTGATGGACGATTTTGTCGACGATAAAATGGACGTAGTGCGCGATAAGTATTCCGCACAGAACCATTATTTTCGAAATAAAATTGCAGTATTTGCAAGCGTTGTTCAGGCGTGAGTCTAATCATGATGAATTGCCAAACCAAACTGAGAATAAATCACTTGACAGCTGTTAAATCGGTCGCCATCTTGAACAGTAATGCCAACTTAAAGTTCTATACATCGAAAAAAAACACCTATTATATCGTTTGATGGGGGCGGAGCTAAAGGAGGGGCAGGAACATTGCCCGGATGGCTGATTCCCATATGGTGAAGGTAAAGACCCGAATCACGGTTAAGATTATTAAAAATAAAATGATCCCACCGTCCTGAGCTACCCTGTATACATTATACAGTATAATAACGATTACTTACCTAACACCCCACGTATTCCGGAACTGAGCAAGTATTTCGCAAAATTCGAAATGACATCTAAATTTAGAGACCTGTAACTTGGAGAGAAACAGTAAATCGAATGGTCTGGTATATAATTCGCCTTAACTTACAAATTATCGTGAAAAGCTGTCACCACCGGCACTATCAGACCCCGAAATCCGTAACTCGCCTGAAAAAAAAACTGAGATTAAGGGATACTATATTATGCAACCAATTCATCGGTTCATAATTAGATATTTTGGAGTTGGGAGTAGAAAAAGTGATCTATGTACATAGTAAGAAGCAACAAAAACAGGATCTTCCATTTAAGTCAGAGTTTGCGAATAAAAAGTCAGCACTTATGGAAAAATAAATCAGAGTTTCTGAAAATCAGAGTCACTATTTCTGTAAAATAACTCAGAATATCTGATTTAAGTCATAGTCCACATTTCTGAAAAATAAGTCGGAATGTCAGATTTCAGTCAGAATTTCTGGAAAATAAGATAGGGTTTCTAAAAAGCAAGTCACAATTTATGGAAAATAAGTCAGAATCTTCATGCTCTATCTAAAAAAGGTATGTGGTATCGGCATGCTTTTTGACCCTTTACTATTAGTCAGTGAATTTTTCTTGAAATCCAATACTCCATTTTGAAATAGGTTTGTTCTATATTTTTGCCGTTCACTGTAGTATAAAATACTTGGGTGAACCCAAACAGTATTTATCTTCAAGATTTATTCTTATTTCTTACAGATTCTGAGATGAGATTTTTATCCCTGATTATTATAGACTACGGAATAGTTGACCAAGCAAACTTCAAATGTTGCCTCCCCATAGTGATTGAAACTAGTATTTAACAACCCAGAAAGTATAAAGTCATATAAACAAAAACTAACGTAAGATGTTAAAAGTGTAGGTCACAATGAGTTTAAAAAAATATTTAGTCAGAAAATAGAAAACAATCGCATAATTTCAAAATATAATAAATGACCTTATCACATGTAAAGCTGAGGCGCGGTATGTAAAAGTTATCTGATACCATGAAAACAGTAAATGGATGACCAAGGAGCTATTGGAATTGATAAAAAAAAATGAGAACATGTACACAATCCGGAATAAACATCACAAGTTTAAAACATCAATACTTAAAAAAAAGTGTAATAATTACAAAAAGCAATGGCGATTTATTAATAGTTTAATTAAAAATCAAAATAGCGTGGATGGTATTGAATTTATAATTGCAAAAAATAGGAATATTCATTTCAATCCAATATTTTTGGATCCGTGTAATGAACAAGAAATTATGAATATATTATTACGATTAATAATAGCGTCGGTCCCTCGTCATGACCAGGTAACAGTTCAAGATATATTTAATGTTAGCAATGATTTTGTAGTTTTTCAACATAAAATAAAAATTAATAGAATAAGCCTTATACTTAAGTCTGGTTGCAGAAAATGCACGGATAATTATCGCTTTATTAGTGATACTAGTGTGTAAAAATTATTTTCACTGAGATTAAAAAAAGAATAATCTTTTTCATTTATAGATCTCGATGAATTTCAGTATGGCTTTATTAAAGACAGAGTTCGATCTTAGTAATAACGGTGCTTATAGATCTTCAAAAAGCTTTTGATGTGGTTAGTACTGATCTTCATTTGAAAAAAATATATTTAATAGGGTCCAGAGGCGACGTGTATAACATTCTGCATACTTATTTATCTGATAAACTACAGTATTTAAGAATATATATAAATGTCAACCGCGCGGAGGGTAGTATGCGGTAGTAGGTATACCCCAAAGATCGCCGGTTTGATCTCAAGATATTGTACATTTGTTGACGACTCAATGCTTGTGCATGGTTTTGGTAATTTTAAGGACAACGATAATATTGTGAATGCTGATCAGAAGCTGTACACCGATTGGTTATTGTTTAATAAGTGAAAAATCAATGTTAAAACCAAATTTATGTTATTTAAACAGAATTTTAATCGACAATAAGCTGGACTGAACAAATTAGACATATATACAGAAATAGAAACTACCTATCTTATAGTGCTAACATTAATATATACAAGTTGTTTTCTAATTAATTTTAAAAAGAAAATTTTATGTGAAAAGTATTCAAAAATGAAATACATATATTTTTTAATATTTGTAATACCACTTTAGATATTTGAAAGAAATTTGGCTCATATTAATTATGCATTAAGAGGCAATATGTCGTGCACCATATTTTTTTTTAAATACACCACTTCGGAATTTCACATATCTATTTTGGCAGACATTGATGGTACGCCACTGATTTGTCTTAAAATAAAAATCATTGTTACAATTTAATTTCTTAATTTTTTCATTCCGATGTACGGTTTTCGCTGAAAAAAATAAAAAACCCAAATAAAAATTATTATTCGGTGGATGGAAGCATATAAAATAATGTTTTGACAATGGAATTGTGTAATTTTGTATACGTTGTCATTCAGAGGAATTAACTAGCAGCTAGAATTACCACTTTTAATGGGAGACCCCTAAGGTGTAAAACGGTCTGGTAATTATGGTGTATCCGACATGTTTCTGGATTAAAACAAGCCCAGAGAGTTTACTTCAATTTGTGTTTGAGGAAAAGCTCGTAATCTGGAAGTAACCAATGACCTATATCACAGGAAGCCGACAACACTTGCAAAGTAAAATTTAGACGATTGTTTCGATTTGGCAAATTTAGTTCAATGAGATAAATATATATTTTTTTTAATTTTAAATTTCAAATCATAGTACTATGTATCAAGATTCATTATTTACTGTACCATTTTTTTTTAAATACACCAATAGCGGGCGTATGGACTTTGAGCTGTATACTTCGGCAGACATTGATGGTACGCCACTGATTTCTCTTAAAATAAAAATTATTCTTACAATCGGATATACGGTTTTCGATTAAAAAATAAAAACCTCTTCTCTGCAGGGTCATGACAATATCGTTAATACGACAGCACGCAGAGAATTATTATCATTATTTCTACTTAAGCAATCGTCTGTTTTATTAAAAAATCTGAAAAATTCTAATGTCAAAGAGGTTGTTTGACATCAGTTTTTAAATTCAGTTCTTCGCGTCTTATTACCAGATAGGCGATTAAATTCGATTAGATTAACAGTTGGGAGAGCTAGCAATCAGCCTGTCCGTCACTGCGACCCAGAGGATCTATTGTGACTCTCTCCATAGCTATAGAGCTTTATCGAGGTTCGTCTCTCTAACCAGACTCCACAACTTCGATAATGGCTCCCTCGCATAGCTGCTCTCTGCCTCTGGTTTGGTATCGCCCCGCAGATGGACACGCACTCTCGCTAGGCCTTCGCAGTGGCACAGTACGTGTGCGGCTGTTTCCTCCTCTTCCTGATAGAATCTACATTCTGTGCTTTCTTCCACTTCCATCAGGCTTAGATGCCTCTTAAGCCTGCAGTGGCCCGTCAGCAGACCTACCATTATTCTTACGGCATTCCTATTGTAGATGGGCCCCTTAGGAATTCCTTGGCCTGTCTTTGCACCGGGATGTCCTTCCACCATCGTCGGGATTCTCGGTCCATCCAATCCCTGATGGCTGTTTTTGCAACGAGTTTGGTCACCCCACAACAGGGTTCTGGTCCAATCAGGCGCATTGACGACCCTTCGCGGGCTGCGTCGTCTGCGCCTTCATTACCTTTACGCCCTCCGTGCCCGGGTACCCATGATAGAGTAACTTTGTGCTGGCTTGCTATCTCGTTTAATGCCTTATGTTATTTTATTAGATTGCAGGGCCTTTATAGCCGCTTGACTATAGGTGTAAATTGCAATTGATTTGTTACGGATCTTCCTCGCTTTTATTTCTCTTGCACAGTGTTCTAGTGCAGTGATCTCTGCTTGGAACACTGTTGCTAGCTTACTCATTGGAATAGAGATTTTCCTTTTCGTCCTAGGTTCGTATATTCCGGCTCCTACTCCTTCTTGAGTTTTTGAGCCATCAGCATACCAGGTTATTTCTGCCTTGATTGGTGGCCCGTTTTCCCAGTCTTCTCTGGCAGGGATTTGAGTCCAACAACTTATCTAGTCTCTATGTTCTACTTTTTTTCAAAAAGGGATGTTATTAATTTATTAATAGGCAATTTTGTTATAAATTATTAATAGCAGGTAGTGTTTTTTTTTAATCGTTTATTATTTATCTTGTTGTTAAGATGTTATGTTATTTCATAAAAACTGTAAAAGTAAAAATCTCATAATATTTTTTTCCTGAAGGACATTAGTTAGTAACTAAAAACTAGATATTTTGTTTTAGATAGATATTTATTTTCCACAAAAAAAAGTTCCCGATTAACTAACCAAAACTAGTGCAGTGGCGACCCAATTAACCAAAATATTATTTGTTTATAGATAGTCAGTGGCACGCCACTGATTTCCTTAATGCACTCACTTATGAGCCGGGAGATCTCATAATTTTTTTTTAGCTCGCTTTGGAATGACATAGATGCGCAGTCTCTGAAGGTACCAGATGGGATTCTGGCGAATCTTCAGGGACCCGATCTTACTGCAGGAAAAAACAACGAACGGATGAATATACATACATTATTATTACTATTTGTTAAATCATGTGACAAACCGGCCAGTCCACACCTACAGCAAGCAGTTTACATTGGTATCACAAACGCACTAAAAGAAGTTGGTAAACTTACCATGTATTCAAATTTATTCTTTGAATCCCTGTATAAATGCATAGATTAGTTTCCGCTAACGCTCACAACCGGGACAATTTTGATAAAACGCGCTTATTCCTGAATCGCTAAAAATAGGAATTTCTATTTTCAAGTTGACGGCAATCAAACTGCAATAAAATACGAAACAGCGCTCTCGAATTGTATTTACAATTCAGTGAATTAAATTACAGTGCAGGTTTATCGTTAAAACTTATCTAAGGTTATCTACATAATATAAAGGGGTGTTTTTAATTGGATACCCATATTTGAAAGGCGTAAATCCTCGGATTGCTATAAGAAGAAAAATAACATCAAAATGCGTCGTAAACCTCTTAATTTTGAAGCTGTGGGGTATAAAATAAAAAAAAAAACGTTTTATATTTTTCTTATCCTTTATTATCGTATATTTTGATAAAATTTTGTGGGCACTTTTGTTAATCACGGAAATTATATTTTTTATTAATTAATTTAATTTTTAAAGGGAGAGAGGGGGTGGGGGGGGAGAGAGGGAGGGACAGAAAGGGAGACGGGGGGGGGGGGGAGATAGAGGGAGAGAGAGTTTTCATTGTTCATAATACTTACTGTTTCCGAATACAAAAAATAAAATGTAAAGCAAGCATAACGAGATAAAACAACCAGTGTCGCTTCTTATTGCTGCTTGATGAGATTAAGAAATGTTTATTAATAATTCATTTTTTAGAGTTAATAGTTTCAAATATAATTTATGAACGTGGTTACAAAATACAACAATTTTTTTTTAAATACAATGCTTTACTTTGCATTTTTTTATGTGCAAATCAAGTTTTATTATAAAATTGCAGCAAACAAAAAAAATCTTATAAACCGTTCTATCGACTTTTACTGTTTTCCAGGTCATTGCGAAAGTTTTCATTTGAATTTAGTTAAGAAAAATGATAGAGGTGGTCTAGTTCAATTCCCTCCACTATTTAAAAAAAATCGAAACATACAGTGTGTTTTTATAACAGTAATACTTCCATAAGATTTTATTGCTCCATCTATTTTCGTTTTTAATATAAAAATAGAAACATAGCTGACCTAACAATATATATAACAAAATAATATCTTGAAAGTACAACGGACCCCAAACAACTTTTGCCTCAAAGGGTTTTTTATATTTTTTGCATGCTACGTCATATGATGAATTTGGATCACTTGGCGCCCTCTATATTTCGGCGGCTGTAACCGCATTAAATAATTGATCTATTGAACTTTGTAGACGCTATTTTTCTGTAGGTAGTAAGCACTTAATATTTCAAAGAAACTAAAAGTTTCGGTTAGAAATTAGATTTAAAAAACAACCGGTGCAAGAAGAATCCAAAAGATTTGTCAATGGTAGGTAACGGGTCCATAGAAAAGAGGAATGACGTTATGAAACATAAAGCAGATTTTATCCGATAATTCAAAGGAACGCGTGACCGTTTATTTTACCTTGAGTTAACGGCACTTTTGAAAATAATCAACACCCGACATAGCACTTGGAGTGTTAAGACTCCTTCAGCTGAACAACAAAAAATTTCGCTTACCTCGTAGCGAGTTCTGATAGTTAATTATTTATTGAACCAATTTTTTTTTGTAAATACAAAAATGGCAAATTACATATAATGAGGAACAATGTCCACAATAACAGGGTAACTTTCACAAGAAATTAACATACTTAATAGCTAAATTTATAGACCAACGATTGATTGATATATCACAAGAAAACCAAGTGGTACTTTAAGGAAAAAGCAGTCTGGGTTCTATAATCTGGCCCCAATCCAACTCTTGAACATCGGCTGACTTCAACTGCGGGTCCTCGTCCGAGAGTAAAGAGAGCTTACCCACTGGTAGAGAACACTGCTCTGCACCTCCTTAAATAGGGACAATATTTTACTATAATGGGCTTTCATTATACCTATAAATATGCTATTTTTAAAACGTTTGCCACAACTACGCGAATCTCGCACCAACTTCTTTCTTGTTCAAATGACCTACTAAATATGAAAAATGATGAAACTTTTGAAATAAAACTTACTTTTTAGAAAATATGGCATAATGACAATCTTTCAACCATTTTAGGTAACAACAGGTTGCTGTGTCATATTATGACATGACATCTAAGGTATCACATACATTAGCCTGCCAAAAGTTAAAAGTTTGAAGGTTTACTTTATGCAAAACTTTGAATGGTATCTTTTACTGCCCAGCTCTTTTTGAATTACATTGAACTTGACAGCGGTTATAGAAGCCGTAAACAACAGTTCCTGTATAGTTTGATTGACAATTGATACATTGTTATTGGTGGTTCCATCTTGTTTACTTAGTACTTATTTGCAGCAGCAATTCCTTCCACACTTTGGAAAAAGTAGCTATAGATATAGAATGAAACACTGAAACTTTGAACTGACAGAAGAGACACAAAAAGAGAAGGTCTTAACCGTGACCAATATAAAACACTCAAGGGACTAATACAAAAGGGTTCCAAGTATCTGGCGAGAAATAGAAAATCACTCTAATTAAAACAATGGCACGTGGATTCAATAAGAGATAAGAATGACAGACTACGGACTGAGCCTAGTGCAGTATAGGTCTGGAGAGATCACTACGATAACCTTCACAAAGATATAGAGACGATTAAACATGTCACAAACGATCAACTGGAACCTGATATTCTCTTCAGCAAAGTCAAAGACGCTGTATAAAGATTTAAAAAGATATCGCCTTAGACTTCACTACACACCAAGTACGACAATTATAGAGTGATTGCTCCCATCTCACACGCAAGCAAGATTATGCTCCACATAAGCTGCACCAGAACAAGCGGGATTCGTGAAGGACAAGAGAACAAGGGAAAAAATCCATAAAGTCCGGATAGTTACTGAAAAAAAAAAAAAAAACAACTTTGTTTAGTTTACACTCAGAACATCTTCTCAGGTCTGGAATTTGCGATAACACTCTTTTGATAGCTGGCAGCGAAGAGGAACTAATCATACTGTTAGGGATACTTCAAAGAGAAAGTAAGATAATATAAAATGAGAGGCAAACATATTGAAACACTTATCCAGGAACTATGGTGAAAATAAAGAATTTTCTTTCAGAAAACACCAACATTGGAAAGGGGGTTATGCAGGGCTGTGTACTATCCTCACTTTTGTTTCGCTTACATAGCTTACACTCTGAACATCTTATGACATTAATTTTGGATAATCGGATGAGGTTTCAAGGCTGATGTCCAAAGGGTCTTAAATGTGAGATTTTCTGATAATACTCTTTTGATAGCTGACAACAAAGAGGAATCAATCACACTGTTAGGGACACTTTAAAGAGTAAGCTATGAGTATGGACTGGAACCAAATCGCAATTGCGAAGTTGTCTATAGAGTCAGATTCAGTCAGATTCAGATTGCGAGACAGAGATTTTACGTCGCATTTAGCTAGATAGAATAACTGGGGGCCAAATTACCTGAATTTGGAAAGACCAGAATGAAAAAAATAGAAAACAATTAGTAAAGTCCCTTTATTCTTGTATTGGTGACTGCTACAAGTGCCATCGACAACTAAATCAATCCCAAACACAATTTATCTAGGAACAAGAATATGCAGTTTTTTTTTCTATCATGTCCAGCTATTGGTAAACCTGATACTAAGTTTGCTTTCATATTGTTTAAATCTGTGGCACCTCCTGTACTCGTGTTCATATATTTTTTTATTTTCATTTTCTTAATTAACAAATCCTGAATGACGGTTTTGCTTTTTCAACCAATAGTTTTTTTATCCTTTAATTGTATTATTATGATCGTTATTTCTGAAGTGCATCTCTCGCTTCTAACAATAAATCAAATATCCCTTTACCCGAAAGTGCACATGAATTGTTATAGTTTTTAAATTTTATATTTTTGGGTAACAACGCGAAAGCATATTTGAAAAACGCTTACTTAAAATCCGGAACCTCGCCCTTTCGTCTTGCAACGCTTCAATTCTGCCGACTATGTGTTCCGAGATTTGTGGGGTGTAGCTTTCCGAGAGCCTCAAAATCTGAAATATCGAGAATCAAAAGGTGTCACATTATTAGCATATTATGCAACAAGTGCGGTAAACGGCATTTGACGCACGAGTTTATTTGACACGAGCGGAGCGAGTGTTTAATAAACGAGTGAGTCAAAAAGTTTACCGAACGTGTTGCGTAGTATAATTTTTCTACCACCGTTAGTTTTTGGGTACATTTTCGCAAAACAACACGAATATATTCACTGATATGACCGTCAGAACTGACAAACGTCAAAATTCAAAGCGTGGGAAATATCTCCGAAAACATCCGATCGCTCCCAAACCCGTGCGGTAAAATCCCGGAAATGGTCGAAGTGGCTCGGATTCATGGGAAACGAAACTGACGTGGTAGAGCGACGCTTCCCGCACGCTAGATCGGTGCGTAATTAGGTATTTTACAGACGGGAATAGAAAAATAATTTTTTATTTGGTTCGAAACGTTTTGATAATCTCAAATGCTGGTAGCAGAATTTATTTATACTGAAAGAGATGTAGACACCTTGAGAACCACATTGTTTAAAAACCTCAGCGATCCATGAATAAATGAATTAAGAGGGGGTAAGGGTTGTTTGTTTTTGGTGATGTGATGTGTAGGTGAAAATGGAGAATGGTTTAAAAGTACTAAAAATTGTTTTGGACAATTTTAAACCATCACTTAATTTATAGCCTTTTCTATAACACTTGAGTAGAACCGATTAAGAAACCTAATGTTATAAAATACTTGGGAATTATGGTTGATAAAAACCTTAAATGGGATAATCATTTCATTTTCTAAAAAAACTGTTACTTATTGATAAAGCTATTCTATCTTTAGCCTCTAAGAGTAATATCAAATGTTATAGTTGAAATTAGGAGGAGTGTTGAGAACATGCATATACATCGACAAAAATTCTTCCAGGCAGGCACTAATCCACCATAATTATGAAACGAGATAACATGCTCAAAAATCTTATTGTCCCTAAAAGTAGTCCAGCTATTAATCAGCAGACAATTTATTTAAGGCCAAAATATTATAATCTGCTTCGCGTGTAACGAAAATTAAAAAAATTAAGACATTGATAAATTGGTTAAGGCTTTCGCGGCCCGTTGATAAGCTATTATCGTGATTCGGGTTTAAAAGCCGTCGTCGGTTGGAATTACTTCCTAACGTTTCGCTGGCACGAGTGGCAAGCTTCTTCAAAGGTCCTTCCATCTCCGATGTTGGACGTAAACTGACGATTTCTCCTGCGCAGGTTGTAGTTATGCCGATTGGTGGTGGGCGGGGCTTGTTCCGCTTCGATTGGTCTCGGGATATCGATCGGTACTGCTCGGGAGTTCCTAAGGATCGGGTTCCAGATTTGGTTGAGTCTAAGGGTCTCCTCCTTTCTGTTGAAATTGTGTGGGTGTTTTTGTATCTCAATGGCTTCCCTGACTAGTCTGTTGTGATAGCCGTTGACCGATGCTAGTAACTTACAGCTCTCGAAGTGTATCCTGTGTTCCCCGCTGCCCAGTGCGTGTTCAGCTACTGCAGACTTCTCTGTCTGTCCTAGCCTGCAGCTTGCTTTATGCTCCTTAAGTCTCGTTCCCATTGATCTTTTGGTAGTTCCGATGTAGACCTTTCCGCATGAACACGGAATGCGGTAGATTCCTGCAGCTGAAAGTGAGTCCCTCTGGTCCTTCGCTGACCTGATGGAAGCCCCTCCCACCACCAATCGGCATAAATACAGCCTGCGCAGGAGAAGTCGTCAGTCTACGTCCAACATCGGAGATGGAAGGACCTCTGAAGAAGGTCGCCACTCGTGCCAGCGAAACGTTAGGAAGTAATTCCAACCGACGACGGCCTTTAAACCCGAATCAAGATAATAGCTAATTAAGACATTCTCCGGAGAGGCCAAAAACTATATTTTAGAAAACTCTTCCAGGTTTGGCTGCTATGCTTAATCTTAATTGTTTAATTAGTAAAGTCAATATAATCGGAATATTTAATAATAATAAAAATATTGTAAAATTAATGATCTGAAAAACAAACTTCAAATCTAGTTCTTCTAAACTTTCTGGTCGAGTTACATAGAATTGGCACTTGTTGACTCTCAAAGCAGTGTTTCGATCACCAATTAAAAATGAGCGCATACTATGAACATTAAATACAATGGGAGACGCCTGACTTGTGAACTCCAATTTTCGTGTCTGTGGCACAATCTTCGTCCAAGCACTCTAAAACGTACTTTGCCAAACATCCTCATTAAATACAAAGACATTTTCTTTCAGACTGAGTCTGGACTTCATTGGAAATTCTCTATACTCAATGCTTTACAACAGTTTAACTATTAGTGATGGTTTTCCAAAGTACCTTAGACCTAATTTACCGCAATTCTAGGATTCTAGGATTCTATCTCAACTTAGATTAATGAATAATCACAACAAAAATCACCTATAAAGATACTGAACTTTGCCGAAAATGAAACTCTATTCCACGTATTGCTTAGATGTAGAGTTTTTTTATGGAAAAACCTAGAACCTAGGTGGATATCGGTACAGGGTTTCTTATTAATTAATATTTTCCCCCTTTGTTAACGGTTTTCAGGAAAATGTTTCACAAATCAGGTTAAACTTTTTTCTTTGTCGCGTCGGATGACTCATGACTGATTCCCATATTGGTGAAAGGTAAAGATACGAGCCGCGGTTTAGACTGTTCATGCCCCTCTTTTAGCTCCGCCCCCCTCAGACCATATATATGCAGCTATGGAGTAAAAAGCGAGCAAGTTTCGGTAAAGCTCTGAAGAAGCCAACGGGATGATTTGCGAAACGTCATCAAGTTTGATTCACAAATAACAACAAACACAACAAAATAGCTAGTTTCCTGTCATGTACTCAGTGCCAGTCTAGGTAGAATGAGTATGTTCTTAACATAAATAAACATAAACATAAATAAACTGAAGTAGCTATCTATATAGAAGCTTGAAATAAAAACTATGAACAAATTACCTTGAATGCGACAATATCTCCCATCTTGGGCTGCATGTTGGTCATGAGGGGAGCTCTCTGGATGTTCTCGTCCTGGAACAGGAACTCGTCGCCCTTCAACGCCACCCCGGGTTCCTCGTCGCTAACCAACACTACACTTTCCCTTCCAGGCTGCGAGTCACCCTCTTCGGAAAACTTAATGTGAATTTTCGGACGCGCCTGGGTTTTCAACGGCTCAGGAACGGGGGGGTTGAGTTCCGTAACTTCTAGAGAATTTTTTTTATTTTTGTGCCTCCTTACGCGTTTCCTCACCCTTTTGGTCACGAACCGGTCGTCAGTGTTGCTATCGGCCGACACTAAGGAATCGCTTTCCACTAAGTTGCCCAGAAGCGTCCCCAAGCCGGATAAGGTGCGTTGGGTATAAAAGAAATTACTCGGGGACACTGCCGATGTCACCGATTGAGTTTCTTTCTTCACCCCGTCTTCTGGAGTGGAATACTCAACTGGAGGTAGTTCTTTATCAATAACTATAGTTTCTTCGACTTTCTTCACTCCATCTTCTGAAATTGAATGCGCGATGCTTAAATCATCCACTTCCGGGTCAATAACTACGGTCTCTTGATCTGATGCTCGCTTCACGAAGCTGTCTTCATTTTTTACCGACCCCCTACAATTCTCCACGCTCTCCTTCGGAGATTCCCTCTCCTCTATACGTTTGACCGCCGTTTTTACGTAGTTTGGAGGCGTTTGAAATCCGTTTACTTCCGGAGATTCGGCCAGTTGCGTTTCATTTACGGATAAACTAACGTTTCCTTTCTTGATTATGTCAATCTTGACGATATTGACCGTTTTCTTCTCCAAGTACTTGTCAGTGATCGTGGGCACCGGTTGAGACGGAGAAGGACATATAGGGGTGTCTGCCAGATGCGATAACCTAACGAAATCGTAGGTTTTTGACCTACCTATGTTGTTGCAGCCATTGATATGGGTTTGCAGCACAGGCAATAGAGTGTTTATTTTCAAATGTTCCCTTTTGGGACTGGTTTCTTCCTTTTTGGGCAAACTTACTTCCTGCACGATTTGTTTGGGTGGTTTTTTCGAAACAGCCTCGCCGATAGAGCCCTTCAAAAAAATCCGAAAATTTGTAGGTCATCGGAACAAAAATGAACTTTATAATGACTGGATAAAGTAAAAACGGCTAAAACATGGAACAAATTCATTTAAAAATTAGGTATTGGATATCAAGAAAAATAGTCGCACAAATATACAGGACGGTTCAATAATAGCTTTTTTTTAAACGGAACACCTCTAGAAATTTTGTAATAATTTTGCAAACAATGCTTTTCAATCACTAAAGATATCTATTTTATTTTGGTTTTGATTGTAAAATGTAATCATTGTCATGACTGGCGATCTCAACTGGTACTTTATTCTAGGTGTACTTTTTATGATAACCGAATAAATATACTGAACTCAATGCCTTATCAAGGGCTATAGCTTACCATTTTACAACGTTCTAAGTTATTGACGTATCAGCTTCTCTTTTTAAAATATACTTGGCAACGTGAAAGAATTTCTTTTGATTTTTTTTGAATCATCTGTACTTACTTAGTATAAAAAGGAGACCAAATTATACTAGCGCATTCAAGCATCGAATATTCTAGGCTAAAACAAAGAATTTTCGGATTTAACATTTTTTGCATTTCTAATTAAGATTCCATGTATGAGAGTCCTACTATTTTTAGAATATGTTCATTGAACGTTAATTTCGTATCAAATGTAACGCCAAGGTCATCTTTTGTGTTAACTCATTCAATAGTAACTTTATTCAGTTTATATTCAAAGAAAAGTGGCTTTTTTATATAAGTATATACACTTTTTGACATTAATATGTTATTAACATCTTTGTGCCTACAATTCACTATTTTTCTGTAGATTTTCACACGGCATGTAGCAAAATATATAAATGCTTAATACTTTGTTTTATGTCATGTACGAAAAACAGAAATAATAATGGGCCTAGTGGTGATCCCTGTGGCACCCCAGATGCAACAGAGAATGGACGCGAATGATTATTTTTAACTGAGACATAGTGCATTCTATTTGATAAATAAGACTGCAATAAAAGGAACCAACCAGTCCTTAGAAAAGGAAAACTAACTTAGTTTTTATCTTATAGCCATACAATGAACCGTGTCAAAAGCTTTTTCAAAATCTGGAACGATAGTATAACGATAACCTTCCAGATGCCATTATATTTGTAACAAATTCTGTAAACTCTATGATATTTCCCAAAATAGATCTGTGCTCTCGAAAACCATACTGAAAGTCTGATAACTTTTGATTTATGTGTACACAATCTAGCAGTTCAAATGTTTTGAAGTCCAATATCTGACTTTTAAATTAGTTTCTGACATATTTTTGCCCTTCACTTACAACACAATCAATCATAAATAATAGCACAATAAATAAAAACCAAGAAACAAGAGCCCAAAAAATAATAAAAATCCAAAATCAAAATATAGGCACTCTTGAACAGTATAAAAGGTAGACTTGTCCAGCTAATTGGACCCTTCATGGATGTTTCTTTAAATGAAAATTCTACAAATTCAAATCTTTTTTATTCTTTACTGTATCTCTAAAAAGAAAGTGGTGGGGGTGCTTCAATATTTCCCAATGAAAACCGAATCTTTATCGTACCTTAAAATATGAACAGAATTTAACTCGCAAGAAGTTGAAATTTTGACAGCATCTCAACATTACAGGTTGTTTATCTTAGTTTTTTACAATGCCATAGACATTATTGCTATGTTGAAATATGTTTATCAGTTTTTTGTTGAAATATCGGATATTCCTCACTTTTTCTTTTTAAAAAAATTATATTTAGTCACTCATTATGTATGTTATATCAATGATTTTTACATTTTTGATATGTAAAAAAACAAAGTGTGGATGCGTGGAATATTCCATAACTCAAAAGGTAGGGACACCAACATAAAAACCGAATCGAATAGTATTAGTATTCACAAATATTTACAAATTTGTGAAACTATATCGTTGAGCCAAAGCCAAGCCCCAGAAACACGTGAGGAAGCTCTTTTATTGTCAACATATTAACTTTTATTACCCCCATACTTGTATGCCTGAGACATTTTCATGTTTGAAAAAGTGCTATAATACTAAAACAATATATTTAAAAGTTTTCCATAGAAAAAGGTACACTTGTTTAAAATTAAAAAATACCAGTTTTGGAGTAGTTTGAGGTTTTAGCAAGTATCTCTGACAAAATTATTTGAAATTTTCATATATGAGAGCAAACTATCTAAGGGAAGAATGAATGTTTCAGAAACACCTACTTGTTTTGAATTATTTTAAAGTTTAAAACAGCACAGAAACAACAAAACAAACAATAAAAAAAAAGGAATGAATAATCCAAAACAATTATTATTTTTTCATTTGCTTAGATTATAAAGCAGAGGTCCACAGACTTTTTTCTCAATTCAAAATTCACAATTTAGCTAGCTCGGATGGATCACGACATTTCTGAATTGTAACAGTCGCCACGGATCATGCTTTAGAATTGAGAATCCCAGCTGACTATTTTGACCCCTTTCAGAAATGATGGTTACAGTTATACAATTTTTTTCTGTGTGAATGTAAATAAACACTAAATGCAAGTGCATCCTTTCATAAAGAATACTTTAAAGAGCAATACAGCATTTTACTACACTCACATACTAGCAAATTCAAGAGACAAGAAACATTCAGCATATCTAAGACCAATACTATATACTATAAGGTTTACAAATTACCTTGTCCACAGTTGAATCACAATTTTGAGGGATTTTCTTTGTTCTCTTTTTAGGAACCTCCATCTCTTCTTGAGAGTTTTTAGGAGACAGAGGATGTTTTTTAGGAAACAATGTTTCATAGAGGACATTATTCTTTTCTTTATGCTTTTTTTTCTTCGGCGTTGCCTCAGTTTTCGTATGATCCCGCATAACCCTACAAAAAAAAAACACCCAGTGAATTAATGCAGAAGGACAAATGCTATTCAATTACCTGACAATCTGATCTGTTTCCAAAACACGCACGTCTTCGGACGGCGGCAAAAAACGGTCTGTGACGCATAAATAAAAGCCTTCGATTTGAAAGATGAGAGCAATTCGGTTTTGCAAATCGAGGATGGTTTTGATATTTTTGGTAACAAATATCACAGCCGCGCGCCGATGGTCGTCGAAAAAAGAATGTAGGTCGAGATATATGCGAAAATTTCTTGAGCTTTTTTCCGTCATTCTTGAAATAACTGCACTATTTCCTTTTGGATTATGTTTGAAAATCTCATTGGTAGTAACGGCGAAATGTTAAAACATCCAGCCAGCCGGCTCTCGGACTAGAGATAAAAATGTCATATTTGAATCATAGAAATAGTACCGTCTTGTAATGCTTTGACGTTGTTGGCCAGCAACTCAGGACATTCGCCCAATACTGACAACTGTTGAGAATTATAATTTGTGATTGCTCTTTGTTATTCTTGTCAAATTGTGAAGAACCATCTAGCCCCATTCGACCTTTGTCTCCAGTGTGATTGTAGCAGTAAAAACTAAATTCACTTAAAACATATTTAAACACATTATAAAGCAATTTTTTAATGCCGGTTGGGTGCTTCCGACAAACTATGGCTTCCCCAACAGGAGCATGTTGCACGTTTTGCATGGGAATTAACTCTGAATTAAAAAATAAAGCAGTTAATCATACAGCTGTCTTACTACCATCGCCAGAGCTTAACGGGACTAATTAGTGGTCTGTGACCCAAACCTATTTTCGAGTTTCAGAAACAAATAATGGGATGTCATGAACCTGGAATTCAACACTAGCATTAATGATACGGGGAATTGTATACGGATAAGAATTCTTGTTGAACTATTAAATTCAGAATTTGAATTTTCGATTGCCCAACCTGATCGAGTGACGTAGTTGAAGCTAGCCGCCATTATGCAGTCTTGTATCACTAAAAGTCGAAATTAACCAAAATAAAAACAAATCCCAAGTTTTTTGCTACAGCAATATCGTGGTGAACATATTTTTATACCTTTTAATTCTTGGAAGTTTTATCGGTGCCGCTCGTCTAATTTCAGTGCCGCGTCTTGATGCGGGAGAAGTGTTTTGTGATTTAATTATTAGCCAATAATCAAAACAAAAACTTGAAAAGGACGCAACGCAAGGGTTCCTTCTTTTGAACATTTGAAACGCGCCTTCGGAAAGAAAAATAGTTGGAAAATTGACGGTCAGATAGTAAGTACCAATAATTTGATATTTTGAATATCAAATGCGTCAATAACACATTTAGATAGGTTACGTACTAAACACAATTAGGTTAAATATTTTCATTTTTCGGGAAAGAGGCGTTTTATAAAAAAAAATCCTTTTTTGATGTTGTTTAGCTTTTTTTTATTTGTTTTTACGAATTGTTATTTGGTGCACTTGGTCCAGCATTTTGAATTTTTTGTTTATGGATATAAATAAAAAAAAACACTAACAAAATAAGTAGGAATTCTTAATGGAAAATATAAAAATATTGCTTGCTATACCTCCGTATGCATCCATATTCCTCTGCTATACCTCCATATGTGTTACCTACCCGTCTAATTGGAACGATCCCATAGCCACTGTAGTGTTGATTGAAGCCAGTGTCATTATTCTAATATATTTTAATACAGTATAGAATTATAAACTTTATGTGGTGCGAATTTTTGGTGGGAAGGTTTTACTTTGACTCATATTTTATATCTGAATTTGTTATAATAACCTTACCATCTTAAATCTTTAAGTATCATAAATTAGTCCATACTATTGCAAACTATTGTTAATAATAATTAAAAAAATGTTTTAGTGTCCTCCACAATCAAAATACATTTACCATTTAAAAAATATTCTCACTTACAAGGGGTGTTTCATAGAAACGTGGCAATATATTTCACCAAAATTAGGTTAAGTGCAATTTTCGAGAAAAAAAGCGTTTTATAAACAAATTGTTCTTTTTTGAAGATGTTACGTATTTTTTATGGTACATTTAATTTTTCCAAGTTTTCCAATATCTCTTTCAGACCAAAGAATGTGTTTTCTTTAATTTAAGGGCAAATATAGTGAGTAGGCATGGGGTTACTGGGGTCTGACGGGTAGGTCTGAATAACTTTATATGTCCGACATATATTTATTATTTTATGCTCCATATACCTGTCCTAATACCTTTTAATATAGTAAAGAATTATAAGCTTTATGTGCTGCGAATTTTTGCTGGGGAAGTTTTATTTCGGTTGACATTTTATATTTGAATCAGGTATAGTATACTTTCCTCGTATAATTGTGTTAATGAGTATGACAAATTAATTAAAAGCAGTCCTCATGAAGAAGTTTAGTTTTAAAAATAATTATAAAAATTTTCAAATTAAAAAAAAACTCAAAACAAAAATTTTTGTTGTTTTCAAATTTATGAAAAAAAGCTTTTTTATTTGAATTGCCTGCTGTATGAAATTTGTAAAAGAAAATGCAGTATTTGGAAGGTCATGTTATCTCAGAACCTGTAGAAAATATCAAAAAAACAAAATACAGTAGAGTCTCGCTAATGATTATGATTCCAATAAAAAAGTAAAGCTCGTTTCTTTACATCGTTTTATTGACTACAAAGTTTCCAAATAAAAAAATTAAATCTAAATCTTTGCAAGTCGAAAAAAAATCATCCGAGGTTGTAAATTTATTGTTAAATTTAAATACTGTAATATTAGTTATAAAAAAAATTAATATCATCTATGAACTATTCAAAACTAAAACACGAAACTTTAACTTAAATTATCACCACGCGTTTCTCGTTAGTCCCCAATATTGTTTGAGATTTTGCCGAATGCGGCAATGATTTTGCGTAATATTTCGAAATTTACAACCTTTTCGGGAAACCCAATAGGAAACTTTTTTTTAATGAAAAATGTAAAATCATAAAAATGAGGTGTTCCCATTTGAAAAAATAACTTAACGACGTTTTCATTAAAATTTTTAATGTTAGTTTTGGGCCACTTTTTATTTATTTATTTTTAAAATATCAACTACCACTAAAATAGATCTTATTCTATAGGGAAATCTACTCTAAACGTATTACAAAGACTTCCAGTCAGAGAAATCCATTGATAAATCAATTTAAACAAGCAAACGTCATGTTTGACATAAAATTGAAAATTGTATCAAATAGGGTAAGGCGTACATACATAGTTTTTCCGGAAATAACGTTCATATGCATAATTTTAAAGTTTTTGATAAATCTAGCTTCGTTTTCGAAAAAAATAACAATTTATTGCATGTCCCTAATTGGCAAGAAATTCTAATCTTTGATAATCCTTATTCATATTAAATAGTTATAATTGAATTATTCAATAAATAAATTGTATTTTTTTCTCGAAAACGAAATTAAATTTGTCGTTGCTTAATTTGAAAAAAAAAAGTTAAAAACGTCAATGACGCACTATCCTTTTGGTGAAGCATATTCGATATGGTGCCTTCCGAGACGCCAAAGCACTTGATAATTTTAATTAAATCAATTCTAAATGTCCCAACAAACAACACTATCCAATTTCAATAAAATCGGTCAAGGGGTGTTTAAAATATTTTTTTAAAACCCATTTTTTAAAAGTTTGATGTGTTCATACAAAAAAAAAAACAATTTTTTCATGTACAATCGCCTCCTAAATTATTCGATCGTTATTTTCGGACACCCTGTAGTTATGTAATATCTAGAAAGTTCCAAGGTATTAAAAAATGCATTAATATACAGGGTGGCAACTTTTGTTTTTATTTTTTTTACATTTTAATTGTATTTTAATAATTTAATCATAACTTCAATTTGGCAATATTCCCACGCTTAAGTATTGAAAAAAAGTTTCTTTTTCAACATCTGAATGTTTTTTTTTGTCATTGACGGTCGGTTTATTTTTATTTGATTTTATTTTTTGTTACTGCATTTGACTGCATTAAGGCCACTTTTAATATGTATTGAATTTAAGTTTTGAGGAGTTCTAAGTGAGCTTGAATCCGACCTGAAAATCATGCGAGGTCATATGAAATACTTTTAACCGTAACTTTTTTAGCTGACTCTATAGCTCATCTAATTAACCAGGTGTTCGAAACTGGAATGTTTCCAGCTCAGTTAAAAGTAAGCAGGATCGTGCCACTGCACAAGACCAACGTCCCCTAAAATTATAGACCTATTGCCTATAATACGTAATAGGTCGAAAAAATCTTAAAAGATCGTTTACTGAACTATTTTGAAAAACAAACTCTTGTGCAAAGAACAGTTCCGGTTTAGGGGCGAAAGGTCCACCGTGCATGCTCTCCTAAGTCTTGTCGAGAGCATTGTCGAGGGCTTTGATGTTGGTGAAATGGCGGAGGTCACCTTTTGCGATATCACGAAGGCTTTTGATTGTGTAGATCATGGAGTGCTGATGCAGAAGCTCGAGTGGTATGGCATCAGGGGCATGCCTCACAGATTTTTGCGGCAGACTTCAGTGCGTCGAAGTGAATGGAAGATTCAGTAGTTCTAGCTTGCCGGTAGCGTTTGGAGTGCCGCAGGGCTCGATGCTCGGGCCCCTGCTGTTCATAGTATACATCAACGATTTGCCTTTCCACATACTACGTAAAATTACGCTCTACGCGGATGATACAATTCTTTTATCCCGAGCTAGGAACCCATATGAATTTAGTATTGATAGTGTGGCCAACAAGGCTAGAGCGCTTGGATGGTTCATCTCGAAATCACTCCATTTAAACAAAAATAAAACGAACCATCTTATTTTCCCTTGTAGCAAGGTAATTAATAATCCGGTTAAGGTAAATAATTATCTTTGCCACAAACTGTCAAGTGAATTGTTTTTAATTAGATACTTAAACAAGTCACTCATTCCTACCATCTCAAGACTTGGTTATTTTTGATTGTTTGATTTCTCTCTTAACATACGATATTGTTTTGTGGGGTGGTTCCTTGCATGCACGCAAGGCTTTTCTTATGCAAAAATGAGCGATACTTGTGATTGTCCGGCCTTCGCAAAACTTAATATTTTGACCTTACCAACACTATTTATTTACCATGCAGTCACTCGCATACATAAGCTAAAGAACCATATGCCCAAGCACTGTGATCGCCACAATGACTACACCAGGGAATCGGAATTAATTGTCCACGGCCATTCTAGACTGCGCTCATCCGAGTTAAATAAATTGTACATTAATTATTACAATGTACTACTGGCTGTTGTCAAAAACCTGTCATACACTAAATTTGTTAAAATAATGAAACAATTTCTATTGGAGAATGCGTTCTATACTGCAGATGTTGTGTCACGAGTGTCTCCATAATACTAATTGGGATTTTTGTTTGCCAATTCCATGAAGCTTATTAGAATATGTGTTTGATACTGTGTTAATTCGTTTTCATTCCATTTATTGTTCTTGTAATGTATTTTATGGCCAATAAAGTCTAAAGTCTTATTATTAATTATTATTATTATTATTATTATATTATATTATTGTATGAGTGAATGCAGAAGGAAATTCAATTGAACCTTTCGCTAGTGGTTATGGACCGTGAGTGTAATTTAAATTTATTTCTAGGATCCCGCCCGTCAATCTAACGTGTCGAAGAGGTTAGAATAATGGCTTAATCGAAGCGTGGCGGCGAACTAACGACGGCAACATGAGCGGCAGTCCCCAGGAGTTGTCTTCTTCGAGTAGTGCCCCGTTGCCGGACGACGGTGGACTCGATTTCCATAAAAAAGACGATATCGACCTAAACGATGCGAAACCGACGTCTTCAACTGACGCGGACACCTCCACGAAATCCACCCAAGAACCGTCCGACGATCCCATCAGCAGTACCTCGTCCGATGCCGATCAGATTAGGGGCCACGTGACTTCGGTCGAAGAGGACGTCGAACTGGAGATAAGCATGTCTCAGCAACCGTGCGGGGAGATTACGGAAAACGTCGACGACCTGGTTAACGATTTGGAGACCCTTTTGGGCGAATCGACGGACTCCTTCAATATCACGTTCAAGTCTACCACCAGATCGGACGAGAGTGTCAAAGCCGAAATTAAAGCGGCGGCAGAGGATAAAGGGCCTGTCGAGTCCACCGAAACCGAAGCTCTATATACTCTGGAAGCAGCTTCTGACATCAATGAAGTTGCAGAATTGATCGAGTCTTCGTTACCACCTAACATAGAATCTTCAGCGGAAGTTGCAGCGGAGAAAAATTACGCCGAGGATCAAGTCGAAGTTGCGTTGAAAACTGACGCGGAAGTCGCGAGTTGCAGCGCGTCCACAGAAAATTGCGACCCGCAGAAAGACGAAAACCGAAGTGATAATGAGGAAAACGCGACTCCAACGGTTACAGGCAGCGGTGCAAGCGTGACTTCAGAAGAGGCAGTTGTAAAGGAGGAGGAGGCGGGCGCGTCCGAAGCCAAACTCGACGAACCGGAAGTCGACGAAGGACCTCCCGAACAAGAAACGGCAGAAAGTAGCTATTGCGTCGAGCCGGTTGCGGAAGATATCGCGGAGAAGGTTGTTACTGAAAACATTCCTGATAAGTCCGAAACAGGGGTAGATGCAGAACAGAGTTTGGCTCTCGAACAGACAGACGAGCAAAATGTCGAAGGAGTTGCCGTAGAACAAACTACCGCCGACGGGGGTCTTGACGAATCTCAAGCGGAGGTGGAAGATAAATCTTCAACGGACTTGGGAGCCGGACCTCATATCGAGTGTTTGGAAAGTTTAGAAGCTGCACGAGACGGCGATTTGGAGCAAACGGAAAATATTGTGACGCCATCTGACGACGCTGAAAATGCTACGAACGTCACAGAATCGGTGGACCAAGTTGTGGGTGAAAGTGAAGACGTTGAAGTTTCCGATCCGAAAGAACCTGCCGATCCGGATGATGATGAAGCAACGAGGCTTGTCGCGGAGCAGACTAGTTCCGTTGCAACGATAGAAGAAGATCCATCTGAACTGGTCAACGCAGCTGTGGAAGATGAAGACTTTGTAGCCGAAGCACTTCCACAAGATCCGGGCGATTCCAAACACGAAGAAAACATTGAAGAAATATCCCCTAACAAAGAACGCTTGGACAGTACCGAAAAGGTCGAAGAGACCACGGCGGAGAGAGAAGACGTTGAGTTTTGTGTTTCTCAACAAGAGATTACTGAAGAAATTCCCGAAGAAGAAGCGTTCGCCGATGATGCACATCAGGGCGTGAACGAACCCGATAAGTTAGTCCAGTCTGTGGATGACGTCGCCTCGGATAAGCAAATATCCGCGGACGCTGTCATCGAATCTTCCGATGCGGGACCGGTTGATGCCGTAGCTGAAGTTTCTAATGTAGAAAACGTGCCGTTGTGCGTCGAGGAAATTGCAGTAGAAACCAGTGACGAGGGTCAAAATGAAATTATCGTAACTCCCGTCGATCAAGATCAAGACAAAGCCGAGATCGTCGAAACCGCGGGAGAAAACGTCGTGGAAAACGCGGCCGGAAGCCTGGAAAGCGAAGTGTCCTTGAACCAGGAGCTGATCGCGGACCCCGAAGCGAACTTGGAGACGATAATGGCGGTGGCGAACCTCCAGAACGACCCTATCGTCGAAATCCAAGCGAAAACGCTGAGCGAGAGGGAAATCCAGGAGATGGAGACGCTGAGGTTGGCGGTCGACAGTATCACGGACGCTCGCGACAGCTACCACGACGAAATAATAATGCAAAATCGCATCGTGGGCGATCGGATCTCGAATGAGCACTCTTTGAACGAGCCGCTGACCATTCGCATCGAGGAGTCCGAGAAGAAAGTGAACACTTACAGTCCGAAAATCACGATCAAACCGATCCGCGTGCCCGACGAGGAAGTGACCACCACGTCCGAGTCGGAGCTGAACAAGGGGAGCCTGCGGATGACCATCACCAAGCAGTCGGACACGTTGTGCTCGATTCTGAAGCCGTGCGACGGCCAAGACGACGTCGCGGAGGCGGACGTCAACGAGGCGCCCATACCGAAGCTGATCATCAAGTCCAAGATGCAAGTCGTGGACAGGCAACACAGTCCCAAAATCGCGGGTCAAGGCGACGCGAGTCCCTTAAAGATAACCATCAAGGGACTAAAAGGGGAGGGGGAGGCGAAGCCGCAGAGCCCGCGGATCACCATCAAACCGATTCCGAAACCGTCGGAAAGCGAGGCGTCGGTGCCGAAGGTCACCATCAGACCGGTGAAGAGGCAAGACGAGCCGGGGGAGGACGAGAGGTCCAGTCCCAAGATCACCATAAAGCCGGTGGTGAGGCCGAACGACACCGACTTTCCGCGCACCGCGTCTCCCAAGCTGACGATAAAGCCGTTGAAAAAGCCGGACGCGGACGCGTCGAGGGGAGTGAAACGGCACGAAGAGTTCGACGACGACGAAAGGTCCAGCCCCAAGGTGGTCAAGGCGGAACATTCGGATCAGAGGACGCAAGACGACCCGGTCATCAAGCCGGTGGTGGCGGAAGTGGAATCGGACGAGGACGCCGCCAAAGGGAGGATCGTGTTGAAGATTAACAAGGGCAACATCCCGGGCCAGCCGAAAGAGGCGAAGAAGCGGGAGTTTTGCGGCGACGACGACAAATCGGAGAAGTTGGCGAAGATAAAGTTGAAGTTCTCGAAGGAGGGCGGCCACCCGCACATCGTGCAGGACGAGAACAACAAGCGGCTGAAGAGGGACCACGAGTACGCGGCCAAGGACCCCGAGAACTCGGTGAACAAGCGCCATTCGGACGCTTCGTACGCGTCGAAAATATCCGAGCTGACGGCCAAGCAGTTCCACGTGGAGGTGCCTCCCACCATAGTGAACGTGGCGACCGTGGCCACGCCCGCTCCCAAGAAGCGCGGGAGGCCCAGGAAGGTGCCGCTGCAGCCTCGCGAAGAGTTCAGCCCGATGCCGTCGGCGAGCACGTCGCTCGTGAGCGTCGACTCCTCCGAGCCGTCGCAGAGCGAGTCGGAAACGCCGCCTACCGGCGGCCGGCCGAAACGCAGCTGCCGCGGCCAAAACGTCATGGCCACGTTGGGTATTAAACCCAGAAAGCCGAGGGGCAGGGGTCGGGGCAGCAAAGTCAACATGGGCGACCGCCTGCCCGCTAAATTGGACACTCCCGAGCACACTCCGAAAGCTCGAGGCAGACCCAGACTGGTGCCCAAAGTCGAGGAAGCGCCCGTGGAGGTGGTGGTGTCGGCCGAACCGATGATCGCTATCGAAGATTCAAAAAACGAGCCGGTTCCTTTTTTAGGCGAGCGAAACGTAAAAAACGAAAGCGACACAAGCATAAAAAGAGAGCCCGATCCGGGAATAAGCGAGGAGGAGACGAGCGCGCTTCAACGCCAGAAGGCTGAGAAGCGGATGAAGCAGCTCGCGCAGCTGCGCACCAAGATGGCCGAGAAGCGGCTCAAGGCGGCGGAGATAAAGAAGAAGCGGGTCGAGTCGGCCAAATTGAAGCGGATGTCGCGGCTCCAGGCCAAAGAGAACGACGACAAGGCGAGGAAGCAGCTGTTTATAAACAGGGCGTTCAATCCGAGCTTCGCGATGCACGCTGCGAAGCCGCCCGAGGAAGCGGAACCGGAACAGCTCGAGGTACCCAATTTTTTGTTTTTCGGGCTACGGCGCGTATAACTAATGTTAAAATTCGACTTCCATTCTTTTTTTTTTTTTTCGGGCCACGAAGCTTATATACTAGACCACAGCGTTAAGGGGTGCCAGATTGTTGATATTTCCACGCTTTTTATTTTTTCAATTTATCCTTTGCCTGATTGAAATCGGATCGAAATTTACCCAATATTTACTTCATTCTCAATAACTTTTAAAATACTTTTTTTATAGATTTTTTCCTCCTCAGGTTTTTTTTTAAATACTCTGTTAAAACGTAAGCAATTATAACCAAATCAAAAATTGTTGCTATTTAAGATTAATTTGTATTTTGTTGTGCTGGTGTATGACCCAGTTTTGGTAATCTGTTTTCATTTATGTTGTTCCCAACGACTTAATTTTCGTGCAAGTTTAAACTTGTGTCGCCCCACTATGGCTGGAATATCATTTTATTCAGTTTACTTTGTTTCATTTAAGTGTAAAGCGGTTGCCAATAACTAGAATTTTATCTGACAAAGAACTCTTTTCTTTTCTTATGCATAATTCAGGATACAAAAATTTAGTAGTTAATATTGAGGAGGGTGAAATGAATTTATGTGACCACAGAATTTGATCCAGTGAGGATAGCCATGAATCTAAGAAAGACTTCGGCCTTAATATTGAAATCGCTGGTCATATACATAGCTCCTATACCAGATAAAAAAAAGGGAATCTGATTTTAGGCGTATGACAGAAACGCAATGATAGCGATTCTATTCCGGATTGAAGACTTTTCATTTAATTTTTAAATTGTGTAAGTTGACGGAAAAAATCAGATCACCTGCGTAAATTTTTTATAATCGCAAACAAGATGTTACGTCACAAATATAATTAGTAATAGAATAGGTCCGGGGATCGAACCTCGTGGAATACCACACGTAACGCAAATTATTACCTGCGAGGTCCAGTGTACATCTGCAATGCAAAACTAGGTTTTTTAGGTTAAATCGAAAAAATCGCGATAACGCATAAAGCTGGTATTGCTGATATCGCTTTCACTTCACTTCAAATTCTAGCATTTCTTTATGACCAAGAGAAAGAATAATGGCTTCGTTTTTTTTTTTTTGTTGAACTCTGGCCATAGGCGATTCCAGGTGAGATGGTATGTTTAAATAAGTTGAATTTAACGTCTCAGCTAACTCAGGTTTGCTTGAATTTCGCTTAGCAGCGTGAGGTTACAAAGTTAGTCCGAAAATATGGAAATTTACGCATTTTTACAAGATTATTGTCTAAGTTTTTCAACAAATTTGTACCGATTATGTAGTTACGGTTTTCTGAAGTCAAAAAAGGTTCGCTTTCGAAATTCGTTTGTGTTCTAAAAAGTCTCGTTTCCCCGCACCAAGGTGGGCGTGGCCGCTAACCAATCGATACTCGTCGTGGACGAGGAGACTAGGATGAGCGCCGACAGGGACTCGAGAGGCGCGACGCCTGCCAAAAACGTCGCGGCCTCGGAGACGGTCGCGGAGGAATCTCAAAGCTCGATGCACAGTACCGGTACCACGGAAAGCGGTAGCGGCAAGACCGGCGGCTCCTCTTCGAAGCCGGGCAAGCCCCGCCTCGAGGTGCACCAGGAAACCGACGCCGCTTCCATCACCGTCGACCAACTCGCCGAGTATTCGTGGAACGGCGACGGCCCGTTCATGCTGCAAGAGCAGGTGGCCCAGTTCTTGGGCATCAAGTCGTTCAAGAGAAAGTACCCGAACATTCCCCGGCGACCGGTCGACATGCAGGAGCGCGATTTTATCCGCGAGGCCGGCATGGCGACCGAAGCGTTGTGCGACATGGGCCTGACCGCGGTCAGCGGTCAGGACATCTTGGACATCATGTACGCCGACTTTCAAGACAAGTACGAGGAGTACTGCCGATGCCAGCGGGAGAAACAGGCGCGGGAGTTGGCCAATAAGCAGAAGGCGCTCTCGCAGCAGGCCAAAGGTCACGAGCGCAGGGACATAATGGAGCAGGCGGTTCAGTCGGCCGCCCAGTGGAACCAGCAGTTCAACAGGGACAGGAGGGACCACAGGAAAGCGTCGATGGACCTGCAGTCGCTCGCGGTGCATTATCCGAAGGAGAGGCTGAAGAAACTCGATAAGGACAAGGTGGGCGACTTCCCGGTGGCCCTCGTGCCCGGCCAGTTCACCGATTTCTACGAGGAGTTCACGCCGACGGAGCTCAACAATTTGCCGCTAAACACCATGTGCTACGACGAGGTGAGGGGCGGGTCCGTCGAGGCGTCGGAAGATTCCGGGTCCAGTTCGGACTCGGACTCGTCCACGTCGTCGTCGACCAGTTCGGACTACTCGAGCGATGAGGACTGTAATTTGTGCGCGACGAAGGCGCACGTCAAGAAGCCCATCGTGACGAAGGCGAGCGGCTGATCCGTCGGACGCCAAGGGAATGTTTATTTTTTCCTTTCTTAAAAGTGTAGGTTTGAGTGTAGGCGTTTGGCGGGGCTGGTCACGCGGTGCGGCGCAGTCTGGGAAAAGTTTCACTCCTGGGAATACGCGAAGTCTTATTGTGGCTAAAGTTGCTTTCATGCTAGGCGGTTGTCTCATAAATTCTATATTTTCTTTTCATGGGTTTCATGATCAAAGTAAGTGTATTTTGATAAAGTTTTTGAAATAATTTGAGTTTGAGAAGTATCTAAAGTCAAATGATTCGTGGAAGCTGTCAATTTGGTCTACTGTTGCTTTAAGGGTTGGTCTGTGAAATTCCTCCTTGAAATTGCTTCGAAATTCTGTGATTAAGTGTAATTAGTTATAGAAATTTCAAAAAACCTGATTAGCAATTTATTATCCGGGATGCAGCCGACTTGAGCTTTACAGAGTCAATAATATAATAAGGTGCTGAGTTAAATATACTTATTGATCCGTGACAGCTTTCGATATTACACCCGTTTCTACATTGACTCAAAGTAGAAAACCCATGCAAAATTCTTGTAAATATGCGAAGTCTGGTTACTCTTTCCCATGAACTGTACTGTTGCAGCAAAAGTGTTAAAAGTATCAAAGTTGTTTTTTTATGATAGAACCTTATTTTTGGATTTTAAAATCAACATAAGTGTATTTGAAGAAGGTTTATGACAACTAAATCATGAGGTTTTTTTGAAATAATTTGAGGTTCTTCAAGAAGCACTCAAAGTATGTCAGCGAAAACTACACTAGAGTGCTAACAATACACCATATCTTATAACCCAATTATTAAAAAGTTCTCACCTTATATACCCTAATCTAGTTTAATAGCATATAGTTGCCTACAATATTTAGAAATGTCTAATAATGCATTAAAGCTGTCAATTTGCTCTAAAAAGTGGCTATCAACTTCGATACTTTTTAACATTAGTTAGAAAATCTGCTGTTAGTGTAATTAGTAAGAGAATTTTCAGAAAACATGAATAGCAATTTGTTACCCAGGGTATAATGACAAATAACTAATCAAAAATAACACTTGAAGATAGTGATACTGCTGACTTGAGCTTTCCAGAGTCCATAGTGGCTTATGTAGTAAGTAAAATTTTTTTTAATCGAACCTACTTTACATGATTTTTTTTTTATTCTACTCTTAATTTTAATTTTTCAAGAAAGAAATCATTTACTCTTTCAAAACATATTTATTTCATTTATAAGAAATATGTATTATAGGTGAAATAGATTGAAAAAATAATGAACAATATTTGTACTACCCTTAAGTAAAAGGTCGGCGAAGAAAAAATATTTAAACCGTTAAAAGTCTTGCAGAGTTTAAGCAAAAAAAAACAAACCTTTTTAAATAAACATAACTTCTACATATTTTTGCTGCCACAAACCGGAAAGAGGGGACAGTTTTACATTCCTATTATGTATTCCGCCTGACATTATGGTGTGGTCTTATTTTTTATGCTTTAAAACCCGTGGGAGTTTTAGGGGTTTCTATACTTTTTTCTCACCGTGTCATTCGCCAGATTTAAGTTGAAAACATTTTGATCCAAAATATAAAATGTCCATTTTTATAACTTGAAATGCTCAAAAGTATTTTTAACATGCATATTCGGAACATAGGAAGCTTAAAAACTTTTTCAATATAATGAGTAATTTTTATTTTATAACTAACTGAATTTTAAAAGTGGTCACTGTAAATTTTGCTGACTGTACATGCAGATCAACAAAAATTGACAAGTCAAACATTGACAAATTTGAACCAACCCAAGGGTTCAAACACGCAGCTTAATTGCTCATGAAGCACTTCTTCTCACTTCTTCTTACGTCACCCTATATGTAAGGGAAAACCACCATAATGGACCAGATTTTGTTTCTCAATTTTATATAGGGTGAATGACAATGATACCACTATAATACTAATTGACTACTACAGTAGTAACCACAGAATATAAAAGAAAAAATATCTCGCTGAACAAACGCAATAATATTTTTCAACTTACCAGAGAATGTACTTTTCAGTTACCTGTCAAATAGCGTTGAGGGTGTATAAATTAATGTTTTCTTGCAGCTGCCACTTTTGTCCCATTGCATTATTTTTTATGACTTGGATCGGTATCGTGGTGTTTGCATAAAACAAGAGAAAAGGTCCTAATATGGACCATCTTTTATATATTTTTCAATAAATCTCCAATCTCCGTCAAGTAAGAAGTAATAAAAAAACTAAATCAAAAATAGTATACGAAATTGACAGCTTCATTAAATTATTTGACATATTCAATGAAACTTTTATTTAATCAACACCAGCAAAAAGAGTTTAATCAAGTTGTACCTACTGAAATAAGTTAATTTTTGTTGGACATCTTACATAAATTATTAAAAGTTTTTTATAATTGGGAAATACTTTTCACGTTTTTGGGAAATTAAAATTAGTTTACATTTGTAGAAAACTCAAATTATTTGGAAAAAACATTAAGATTTAGGTATCAAAAAAGAATTCAAAAATGCGCTAATATAACGGAGGTTATGTTTTTTTTTTTAAACTTTGCTACTGTAACACTTTTGGGACAGCCTGTATAGTAGGAAAGTAATTTGAAAAAGTAAGCATAACAAAAATTCCCACTTCCGGGCCGTACTTTGTGAATGGCCCTGTACACACGGGGCAGCTCATTGCTGGGGGACACTATTATATCTCCGGAGGGTGTTTGCTTTATCGAAAAATTTGGTACGATGAAAATAGTTGCCATTATATAGTGTGTTTCATAATAATGCCGTAACACCTGACTTCCTTATTTTAAACCACAACTCACACCAGATTTTAGACTTCACAGATTTCCGAATGTTGAAACTTTTTATATTCCATCGTAAATAGAAAACTATTGAACTAAAAATAAACGCTACTTTTTCTTTTCAAAAAGTATTGTCCGCATCATTTTTAAATTAATACATATAAGTGTTATTAAATCCGCAGACTTTCAAAACGGGCATAAAAACTACGTTTTTGAAATTTCATTTCTAATTTATTTTTCTTTTCTATTTTAATTGAATAATTTTCTTCTGCAAATTAAGCCAAAAAAAAGCATCCGATTTTTTCTACATTGAAATCTTGTGCCTTATACCTTATAACCTAAGCCAACAAACCAAACGACTTGATAAAACTCATGCTTACGTCACAAAATGGACGGTGATTATTCTGTGCTCGTGTGACACCTTATCATTACCTACTGTCATATGTCAAAATTGCTTAGGGCGCCATCAAACAACAACAACAATGTTTTTCAATATATTGGAATCTTTCAAATTTAATTTAAATTATCTAAATTCAAGTCCTTAAGAGCGCGATTCTTAAAAAAAAACCTTGATAAAGAAATTTTATGTCGGTGTAGTTCCTTAATCGCTTTTTTTTTTATATGCAGGGCGTGGTAGTTTATAAAAAAAACTTTTTTTCTCTAATTTCCATTAAAATCGCTTTTTCTGGCAAAAAATATTTTTCGGCATTCGCCAGTGGCTTTGGGGTAAGCACGACACTGAGAAAAAAGATACGTACCAAAAATAACCATTTTCATCAACAAAATGTCCGAAGCAGTTTCAACGAGATTGAGCAAAAACCTTTTTTTTATGTTTCAAACGCCCTGTATATTAAAGATAAAGCGATTACTGGCCTATATTGATATAAACTTCTTCTGTAAGGTAAAATAAATCATCTCATTATGGAACTAAGGGTATTATTTTTTCCCATAACATCAAAAATGATTTGATAATATACTGGGAGCTCCGACAACTTTTGTATTTAAATTATTTCTATAAAATATAAATCCTTACGGAGACGTAAAAGAATCCCAAAGCGAACCGCGCCGTATATGCTTTAGGAATATGAATAATGAAAGTTATTTTTATAAAATAAATGGATGTTTATATTTTATGATGTTATGGAAAATGTTTTTTTTTTCTTCTTTCTGAATATTTTATGTTTGATTTTTTTAGAGGTAAAAAAGACAGATGTATTTATTTTTTTCCTTATATAAAGATTATTTCGGCCTGTGTTAGTTTAGCGTAACTAATGTAACATATAACGATACGAAAATATAAGCAGTTTATAGAGCACATGTTTTTTCTATTTTATAATTAAATGTTACAATTTAGTTGCGTTTGTTTTCGTTTTAGTTCCTGAAATTACCACCAGGGGTCGTAAGTGTTCTCTTCATTAAAACCCAGTTTCTATAAAGAATATTAATATTAATCATAGTCAAAGTGTTGTTTTAAGCCGAGACAAATTCTTATTCACTACACAAAGAGGAAGTTCAGAAATATGTAGGAAAACAAACTGGACATATTTATTTGCAAAATTTATATGAAAAGTATAACCAAAGAGGACAATTACACATACTAAGTATTAATAATATATGAAAAAACCGCAATATTCATAAATAAAAATGTCATTTTGGTTGAACCCGCAGATTATTCGAAAGGGGGCTGATACGTTCTCGGCCTGACAGATGGCGTTTCTATGCAGGGTGGTCCATTTAAGATGATATCTTTTCTCAATAAGTATAACACTAAGAAAAAAAAGTTAAATACTGGAAGTGTTTGCTATTTATAAAATTTTTATTTGTACAAGATGTTATGCTAGATCAGTAACGAATTTTATTTTTTTTAATGTAATGCTATGAATATTGAAAAAAAATATATTTATTATATTATTTGTTATGGAAAAATATTTTAAATACAAAAGTTATGGATAAGACTAAAGGAGACAATTTAACTGTATTTTCAAATGTACAGGGTGATTGATGCATTTGCGAAAAAAAGTTCAGGGATCGGGAATGCTTAAATGCGGTAAATGGCAGTTGACTGAGGAGTTTATTTGACACGAGCGGAGCGCAGCGGAGCGAGTTTTTAACAAACGAGTGAATTAAAAAGCTTTTCTACTCCCGTCTGTAAAATACCTAAATACCCAATGATCTAGCGTGAGGGAAGCGTCACTTTACCACGTCAGTTTCCTTTCCCATAAATTCGAGCCACTTCGGATATTTCCGGGATTTTACCCCACGGATTTGGGAGCAATCGGATGTTTTCGGAGATATTTCCCACGCTTTGAATTTTGACGTTTGTCAATTCTGACGGTCATGTCAGTCAATGTATTCGTGTTTTACGAAAATATACCCAAAAACTAACGGTCGTAGAAAAAGTATAGTATGCAACACGTTCGGTAAACTTTTTTGCCGTTTACCGCACTTGTTGTATAATATACTATTACCGAACGTGTTGCATACTATACTACGACCGTTTGTTTTTGGGTACATTTTCGCAAAACAACACGAATACATTCGTCAAACTTCAAAGCGTGGGAAATATCTCCCAAAACATCCGATTGCTTCCAAATCCATGCGGTAAAATCCCGGAAATGTCCGAAGTGACTCGGATTCATGGGAACTGAAACTGACGTGGTCAAGTGACGCTTCCTGCACGCTAGATCGGTGAGTAATTAGGTATTTTACAGACGGGAGTGGAAAAAAGATTTTAATACGTAGAACAAATCAGATAAGAGGGACGATCCAATAAGAAACTTCACATTAAATTCCCTTGAAGTCAGGATAGGCAGGATACTACTGGAAAATATGCAGACTCCGCCATGTTTTCCAGACGGACGTGAATACAAACGGGTGAAAACATATCCATGAATATTTACATTATCACAAATTGAAATATTATCAGTAAGTGAGGGATCAGAAGCTAGTCATTCTGAACACGTTCTTGAGACTTGTTGCCTTCCTAGGATAGAAATACCTTTTCATGTAGGTTCCGGATGTAGGTTGTATCTTGGGTATCGGGACTGCAATTGTCCGCACACGGCTTCCTAAAAGAATAGATGTAAATATTCATCTTACTGAGATGCTGTTGTTATACACGTGTAAAAATTACTATTTTGGGACCGTCTGAAACTCACAATTATTAGCTGAAGACTGTTGTTGATTCATGGAATCTATGGCATTCGACACGTGCTTTAGTGTTATTGGTTTCTGGGAGCTTTGTATTTGTCTTATCCGCGTACATTTTGTGTTTTTTCTTTACTTCTACCTGAAACATGATGACGAGCAGGAAAAAACGTTAATACAATGATCACGTATGGAACTATACTAACTTTACCATCAAATTATGTCTCACAAGGTTTATATAAAAAGAGACATCGAAAAGTACGAAAAGAAAGATGAACTTATCTTTGAAAACCAGATACTTTTATTTAATACGAGTGCCGTTCAGTGGCGAACAAACAAAGTCGTCCTCTCTAGCGTGGACGGCCAACGTTCGCGGCTCTGGCCTCGGTATTCGCTAGTAGGCCTGGATGAGGTGCCACATAATTTTCGCGTGGATCACCGCCCGTTCCCGATTCTGTTGATTCACGCGCGTTATTCGCCTATACCCCGGATCATCGATATCGTCCGACATCGGCTTTTAAACGGAAATTCACCCGGAGACGTATCGGGCCGTAGGTACGTAATTTCGTCGTCTTTAAATTGCATGCCGTATCAAACTAACAATGCGCGATAACTTTTATGACGACTCACGTCTAATGGCGGATGTAGGGACTCGCAGTCTTTGATATTTTTGCGTTTGAGGTTATTTTAGTCCGTGCCTACACTACGCACGAGGAAATTATCCGATTGATCTACGAAAATAGATCGCGTGCTCAAAGAATTCACGTTCGTCGTTAATAACTGCGTAGAATTCGACACTTTCGACCGAGTAATTACAAGGTTTATTTTTGAAAAATCAATGCTACGATATACAGGGACGAAAGATAAACATTGGGATACCCACAGAAGCATTTAAGAATGCTTGTGAGTGGAATCACTAGTTATAAAAAAAAACTTAGCTTAACAGAAAGGAATCAGAGTTCAGAGGCGACGATGTTCTGATAGCACAAAATATATTTATATGATATATAGTGTGTCCCACTTATGAACTGTACACTTAAATTTTGTTTTGCTTATTGCTTCAACTTAAAGTCGTGGCCAACTGAGACTATTTAACAAAAGAGAGAGAAACGGGAAGTGCTAATAGAGATTTAAGAAGATAAATTGAAAATTGGCAACGAATTCTTATTCAGGAACCCGCATATGTTAATTTTTATAATGTGTCAATACATAGTGTTCGAAATGTCGTCAGCGCCCCGCTTAAGGCCGTACATCGTTGTAAAATCTTTGATTACGGTTTGATTTTGATAATTTTTTTTATTAGATATATCTCTCAAAAACACAATAAAAAGAAAAAGAAAAAATTAAATAAGACATAAACATAATTTAAATGTACATTCCTTAACAGGTACTCCTGTAGAATGTTTGTTTATAATTTTGGTAATGCTTTTTTTGTTGGATAGACTGCAAGATACTAACAATTTTCTTAAAATTAAATATGATCAGAGAGGATTAGATATGAACTAAACAGACTTTGCAAAGTTGTATTTTTTTAATTAAAAAATTCTAATTGAATAATGAAAATAACAGAAATATTTCCTATGTCAAAGCAAGTTTGCTATGGAGCAGCGAATATTCGACACTCACATTCACTCACTAATTATATTTTAATTTTGTTTACGTTATACCTTTCAAATACTAAGATTAATGTCGTTGTTTTAATTTTTTTTTATATTTGTTTAATTAAAATCACATTCGCAATAATCGTTATTTAGAAGGTTTACAATATTTATTTTCTTAAAACTTTAAAAACTGGTCACTGGTCTAATGACTTTTAGACAGCCCTCCCTACAAATCAGTCGTCATTTTTCATTTGAAAAAATCTCTAAAAGTAGTTTTCGATTTTCCGCTTCAAGAAGCTGTTAAAGCTATTAAAAAAAACCCTTTAATTTCTCTTTAGTAAGATCTATCCAGCCAAATAGAATTATCACAATCCCTTGACATTTTATTCTTAAAGAACTCCCTAATATTCCTTCTTGACATTTGACATCAAAAATTAGTCTCAGTTGACCATGACTTTAGGTTAATGAAAAATGAGACACAAGGTTTAGTGTGTTTTTCAGAGATCTGTTCAACAAAACAAAAAGTTATCAAAATCAAACTCTAATCAAAGATTTTGCAACGATGTACAGCCTTAAATTGATAAGATAGGTTCTAAGTTCTCCTGAATAAGTATTCGTTGGCAATTTATTATTGTTTTTAAATCCCTGTATTTTATTTTATTTAGGTTTATTTTTTAGTTCAAAATATTTTTTGCATATGCTGAAACGGTTACAGTCCTAGACTGATAAATAGTAGCGGGAAGAAATTTTTATTTTTATAAAATAACATTGAGCGAAAACACTAAAACTAGGAGCAAAACAAAACAAAATTTTTACACTTAATGGATTTGAAGTATATTTCGCCTTGTGGTGTTATCTGCTAAAACTTTTTGTAGGTTAACATATCTGTAGATACTGTTTAATCAAAAGTCAAAATTCGTCGTAACTTACTTGACAACTTGAAAAGATTTAAGACATTTTTTATTAGTAGATAGAAAAGAACACATTTTTATAGGCTTTTAACGGACAACCAAATAAAAGAGCTTCTTTGAACATTTTTTTATACCAAGCTAAACATACGTAAAAAATATTCGAGTATTCCATGCAGGGCTTTACAGTTGAATAGCACTAGCAAAAATTGTATTAATAAATATATCATTGTTGAAATAAAAAAACGTTACTAAACAGTGAATTTTCTGATCTATCTGACAAAAGTAAAGAGTTGAATTTTAAAATGAAACGTGGTATAAAATGTTATGAAATATTGACACACATGAGGAAGGGTTTGGGTACTCATCTTAGATCACTGGTGTGTGAGTAATGTGGAAGAAACTGACGAAAACAGTTCCTTAACAAAATTGCTGTTCACTGAGTTTCGCGCTCAATGATAAAAATGCACTTCACTAACGTATCGCTAAAATACAACGGATAACCATCTTCATCCAAAGCGCAAGATTTTTGAGAAGTCGTTCTAGATCGCTATGCCTGATGCAATTTTTGACATTTACCAAAGTTTGACATGGCTCTGAAGTCATGTAGAGAGTTTATTGCAGGAGCACTTAATGCAGGGTGCATTCACTATAAAATTACATTCATTTTGCGAAAGTTTCATGGCACAGCAACGAGGTTGCGTTACCGTCGTCGTCACCAAAGCACATCATATCAAAAGAGCAGTAACGATCTTCTTCTTGTTTTTTTTTAAACAGTAATATAGTTTATCAAAAATTACCCCACCATTTACATTATTATCAGCCATGACTGATGACTCATCATTGAGACACACGTTTTTTCATGATCAAATTTTTACGATGGATGTTTAATTGAATAGACAAAACCGATGACTATATTTTAAATATTTGAAAATCGAAGTCCTATTTATAAATAAAAAACCTCAGAGTTGGTTAATTTAACTTTTCGGGCATTGAACTCTCTTTTCCAAGATCAGTATTCGATTTTGGTCAACGATATAAATTTGGAGCACTGATTTTCCATTCCGTAGAATACACTCGTGCTATGGAGCAGGCCATTCGTTCGGCGGCCAAGTGGAACCAGCAGTTCAACAAGACGAGGAAATTCAGGCGCAAAGCTTCTATGGACCTTCAGTCCCACACGGTACATTACCCTAGGAAACGCTTGAAGCGGATGGACAAGTCCCAAGCGGGAAACTACCCAGTAGCAGTGTTACCTGGTCAATTCACCGACTCTTACCACCAATTCACCTGTGACGAATTAAAGGAACTACCGCTTGGTACGGTATGTGGCGACGGAATTTCAAACACAGGGTCGGATAGTTCCAGCGGATCCGATAGCTCGGATTCGGGCTCTGACTCTTGCACTCGATCGTCAACCTCGGGCTCTTCTAGCGACGAAACCTCTAAACCTCTTCCAGTAAACGATCCCGTAGATGGCAAGGCTCCAGGTTAATCGTTGACATGATACTGGACGAGGTCTAGATTTTCATATAATAATGTAAAATATTTAAGCTGGAATTTCTAAAGTTTTTAATAAACGTTTTATTTATTCATTTATGTTTCACAAACTATAACTAGAAACCACAGAACTTTATAAAGTTTTGTTTTAAATAAATCAAAGTTTAAGTTAATACTTACCTAGGCAAGTCGGCTATACAGGGTATCCCACGACATCACTGCCATAGCTTGGGAGTGTGTCGCTGGGGTGTTTTCAATTGAAAAATGTCAATATACCAGGAACGCTATTCTAATTGACCTACAAGCATTTGAAATTTTAAAGACCATTTAAAAAGAAATCGCTTTATTGAATTAGTTGCTCCAATATTACGTTCGGCTGTTAATATTATTACTAAACAGTCCAGGTCGCAGTGAATCTTATAATGGGTGTTTTTTTCTATGTATAGAACTTTAAGTTGGCATTACTGTTCAAGATGGCGACCGATTTAACAGCTGTCAAGTGATTTATTCTCAGTTTGGTTTGGCAATTGTAAGTAAGGCGTAGATTCGTTGAATGGGCCCAAACTGAGATTGCCATTGTTCCCGATTTTCATAAGCGAATTTTGTTTGTTTGTTGAATGGCTACGTCCACAAACAAAAGTGCCGCATTTGGAGCGAAGCTAATCCTCAAGTGTATGTCGAAACACCGTTACATCCAGAAAAACTCACTGTTTGGTGCGCTTTATGGGCTGGTGGAATCATTGGTCCGTACCTCTTCAAAAACGATGATGGCCAGAACGTTACAGTCAATGGTGATCGGTATAGGGATATGATTACTAACTCTTTCATTCCTAAATTGAATAACCATGATGTCCAGGAGCTGTGGTTTCAATAATACGGAGCAACAAGTCATACAGCTCGTGCCACAATCGATTTATTGAAAGACACATTTGGTGACCGCCTAATTGTACGTTTTGGACCTGTGAATTGGCCTCCAAGATCTTGTGATTTAACACCGCTAGACTACTTTCTGTGGGGCTATGTAAAGTCATTGGTCTATCCGGATAACCAAAAACGCTTGACCATTTGGAAGACAACATTCGCCGTGTTATTGCCGATATACGGCCACAAATGTTGTAAAAAGTCATCGAAAATTGGACGTCCCGATTGGACTACATCCGCACCAGCCGTGGCGGTCATATGCCAGAAATCATATTTAAAATGTAATGCCACAAGATTATCTTTCGGATAAATAAAATTCATGTCAATCGAATAATCCATCGTTGTTTTATTGCAACTTAAAGTTCTATACATCGAAAAAAAAAACCCTATATATGGGGACAGTAAACGTCAATTAAATTAATTTTGTGTGTTTATTTTCGTGCGTTACATTAAAATATTTGTGGTTATGTTGTTTATATGTTGTTTTATGTTTATTTTTTCGAATGAAGAATACGGCGACATTAATTTTTTTTATGGATTGGCGCACGATGGCGTACCTCCTCACGTTGGTCGGTAAGTAACAGAATTTAATTGAGGTGGACTTTTGCTTGATGAAAATCCATTTAACAACTCTCTCTCTCTCTCTCTCTCTCTCTCTCTCTCTCTCTCTCTCTCTCTCTCTCTCTCTCTCTCTCTCTCTCTCTCTCTCTCTCTCTCTCTCTCTCTTAGAAACTTATAATTATTATATATTATTATATGATTTAAACCAATGAATAGTAAAATAACAAACATAAGCTCATGATTGAGCATATCAAATGCCTTACTAAAATCTAGTAAGTAAATCTAGAGAAAGTAGAAAGAATGCTGATCGAGCGAAGATGACTGCACTCGGACGGATTCATCAACTCATCATCATCAACTCATCAGCAGTTGCCGAACAAAATCACTAAAGCGGACATTAAATCTTAACCAAACTAACAACTATTTTACTTCCACCCCCTCAAACAATATATAAGCAGGTACAAAGTAGATGCAAATTGTTCAATAATTTTGTTATTCAAAATTCCATTTGTTTTTTGTGGATGCTGTGTGTGATTTTCTCTTATCTATCGGTTATTATTTGTATTTACGGTATTATTTGAATAAAAACAACATTCATGAAAAAGCGTTTATTTTCAGCTAATACATTTTCGGAATTGCTGATCACCACGGCCCTAAATATAGTATACACTGCGAGTGTAAGGGTAAGGATTATAGAAGCTGTATCCTAAAGTGTTCGGGTAATATCCGACATGTCTGAAAACTGAAGCATCGTGGTAGACAGGTGCCACGACTCCATAAGCCAATGGCGAATTGTAAAATACCGCAGATCTTTTCACTTGGGTCTTTTCAGGCTCCGGCTGCCCAAAGGCCACTCCCACCAAGCAGAAGAGGAATAGCTAAAAATTAATTATTCTTTTCATTTAATTAATTTGAAAAGTTTGAAAAGTACGTTTTTTATTCTTAATCCTCAAGCGTAACAAAAAACTGTATTTATTGTTGCACCGAACAAAGAAACATAGATATTTCATATAAACCCACTACATCACCGTAATAACTGGAATAGATAGAGAAGAAATCCGATTAATTACAAATCTCTACTGGAAGCAAAACGCAGTAGTGAAAATTGAAGAAACAACTTCAGAGGCAATCATGATTAGAAGAGGTGTAAGGCAAGGCTGTGTGTTATCGCCGCTGTTATTCAACTTATACTCAGCGGCAATCTTCGCAGAGGCTCTGGACGGAATCGAGTGTGGGAAAATAATCAACATCAGATATGCCGACGACACCGTTGTGCTAGCCGAGAATGCGCACGACCTGCAGAGGCTAATGGATCACATAGTGCGATATAGCGAATACGCTGGCCTTCTCATAAATACTGCAAAAACTAAGGTCATTGCATTTACCATGACACCTGTTCAGGTTCGTCTGAATGTTGATGGTGTTGCGGTGGAACAAGTGTCTTCATACAAATATTTGGGGAGCATCATAAATGATCAATGTGATCCAAGGAAAGAAGTCAGATGCCGCATAGAACAGGCCAGAAAAACATTCTTGAATATGAGACGACTGTTCGTGAGATCAGATTTGAGTGTGGAGTTCAGGGTACGCATGCTCAGATGCTATGTTTTCTCATAGAAGGCAAAGTCCAAGGCAAAAGGTCGGTCGGCAGGCACCAAAACTCTTGGTTAAAGGACATTCGACGATGGTTTGGTTGCTCATTGCTCGACATCTTCTGTATGACCGTATCTAGAACCACGTTAGCTCTTTGGATCGCCAACCTTCGAAAGGAGACGGCGCCATAAGAAGAAGAAAAATAAAATACGAACATTGAAAATGTTTGGTGCAATTTTCATACCAATGCAAAAGGCAATTTAAAAAATGCTTTAGGTTTGAAATTTAGATAGAGATAAGAGATCAGTTCGTGTAATAGTTCTTGCACTGTATAAGGCCGTCTTGGTTTCGTGGTTTTGCTAATAACAAAATGTAAACTAAAAATATCTATAAACGTTGTAGACGAACATAAGCCGGAAAGCAAATAAAATTATTTACGCGAAATATAATATCTAGTAAAAACCATAACTGATATTACGCATTATATTTACTACAAATAATTAAGAAACTGTACAACAGCTGCTATGAAGGCAGAAGACTTATCTTAGAGAAAAATTTAAAACTTGTAGCTTTATGGAAAAATGGAAGAACTTAAAAAACTTGATGTTGATTTTAGCGAGGCTTTTAATACCCTTCATCACCCAATACTTGTCTCAATCCTTCACTATGTTGGTTTTAGCGAAAGCGGTTACAATATGGTACATTCCATTTTTGTCTGATCGTATACAGTGTCTTAATAAGAATAATCTGACGCTCAAATTTCGCGAGTTAAAAACAGTATTCAAAATTAAGCAGTGTGAAAATGTTCATTCGTACCCGAATTATGGTAAAAGCTTGGGATTTAAAACTTTAGGTCTTAGGCAAACTACGATCTGCATATACCAGGTGTGTTCAAAAAGTAAGGTGACTTTTGTAATTGGGCGGATCCGTACATTCGATATTCGATTTTTTTTTATGTTGGTACACATGCCCCTAACTTATGTTCACAATTTCCGAAGCGTTAGCCGTGTTTTGTATGCTCGGCGATTTGCTGCTGTAAAAAAAATTGAACAAAAAATTTGCATAAAATTTTGTGTCAAAAATGGAATACAATGCTGCAAAACACTTGAAATGTTGAATATGGTGAATCTACTGTGAGCAAAAAAAATGTTTATAAGTGGTACAAGGTTTTCCAAGATGGCCGAGACGACGAACCTCGCTCCGGACGCTCCAGCACGTCAAACGTCAATAACAAACGATAGCGTTGAGGAAGTGAAACAAAGGGTGTTGAACAATCGTCATATCACTCTTAGAGATGTGGATGCAGACGTCGGTATCTCTATTGCCTCGTGCCGTGGAATTTTCTCTGAAATTTTGGGCATGAAACGTGTTGCAGCAAATTTTGTACCGAAACTGCTTAATTTTGAACAAAAGGGCCATTGCTCAAGAGCTGTTAAACTACGTCAATGATGATCCTGATATGCTCAAAAAGGTCATAACTGGTGACGAATTATGTGTATATGGTTAAGACGTCGAAACCAAAGCCCAATCGTCCCAATTGAAGAACTCAGAATCGCTAAGATCGAGAAAAGCACGTCAAGTTCGATCAAATATCAAGGTTTCGATTACTGTTTTCTTTGATTATCATCAAGAGTTCTCTCCAGATAAACAAGGAAGTCATGCGCCGTTTGCGAGAAGAAATAAGAAAAAAAGATAATGCACCTACTACTCATCGTTGCTGGTGTCTAATTATTATTAAACAATAACCAACTGGTATACACTATGCCGTTAACACAAGCACTGTGTTGTGAGCAAATGTAGAATATCTTGAGACCAAACCAGCGTTTTTCAGAGTAAGCGCATAGAGGGAGTAAAATAGAGAACCTTGTGGCACATCTACCGCTCTCTGTACGGCTGATATTTATTTACTCTTTCATACTGTAGTCTATCAGACATATAACAAATTACATATAACATTATTATTAAAAGCTTATTGAAGATCTATAAACACTGC